ACCTTGACTCGCATAAAACAAAGCTTCAAACAGAGCTAAACTGGTTCCTAGTGAGCCTGGCTGGTCATTTGACAATACTCTTGTATTGCTTTGGGATACCCAGAGTCCCCAGGCACAGATTTATTCTGAATTCTAATTGCAAATGCCTATATAAGGTGACAATCTGAGAGATTTACAACTAATTGCAATGACTAAAGTGTTAATTCTGAAATATGTCACTAACATATACCATTTTTGTGTTTCTATCTAGTAAGCAAGATAAATCTGTGAACAAGAACTTCAGTGCACATCAGTCTTGTTGACTAAAGATCATGTATTAAGAGTTTGCTGTTATGTGAAGAAAATTACTTATTAAAATAATGGTTTTGAAGTTGCATACAGGGTTGGCATCCTTTTGATTAATATATCTGTTTCATATGAATTAAAATAGGGTTTCATATTATGGAATCAGGGCTAGGTGCACTAATGGGGACAATTTGTACCTGCAATCCATAGAGGCCCTAAGTTTGGACATCAACAAGAGACGTGCATGGCAGTTGTGGATGAATATTTGTACACAGCCCGTACATGTATAATATTTCTGCTCACCTAATTCACACATGGGCATGTTTGAAAATAAACCCATATATCATTTTCCTTCTTTTAGCAGACTTTCATTCAAACGCCACCATAGCCCAATTCCACTGGAAGACAAATCAGTATTCAAGTTGTCAACAAAGAAGACTGATGTTGGTCATAAGTCCCTATTATCTGACAGCCTTGACATGGACTTGAATTAAGACACAGCTGTGATCAATGCTACTTAACTGTACCATTACCTGATGGCTCACTTACACATGGTAGAATGGAGACCAAATTATGCTGAAAAGTACTTATAAATGTGGTTGCTACCTGTGACGTTACGCTGATAAACAAAGCATCAGCTCTGAATGACACATTATTTACGTGGACTGAAGTACAGCACCCAGTCTATCTGTAACAGTGCAATGATGATTGTGCCAGACCTTGGAACTGCACATCGTGCACAGGTCTAGGAAAAAGCTTAGCCATATAATACACCTCCTAACATTATCTCCCACCCCAGTAAATCTAGTTGGTTAATGGGATACTGACGTTTTGTTAGATTGTTGTGTATCACAACTGCACAAGCACCCTCTGGGATTTTGTATCTCTATTTCCAGGCTTATTGTTTTCTTACAAGTGACTACTATTGAGAGCAGGTTGTGCTGTATTACAGCTGTCCGACTAATAAATTCCCATGGCGCATAAAGATCTGAGTTTATGTGTCTTGAGTATTTTTCATACTGTAACAAAATAAAAGTCTTTGAAATAGACAAGAGACACATGCATATGGTCTAGGCTGGCCAGAAGTGGGGAATAGGGTTGTTGTACCTGCTTTACCTTACATGGAGCAGAATCCCAGACTCCAGGTGAGCATCCTTACGGCCACAGCACACCACCTTATAGACTATCTTAACTCTGGTTATAATTCAGAGTTCATTTCTTCTATCTTTTCCTCTGGACTGGACAGCAGTGCCCCTCAAGAGGCTATTACGTATTGCTATGATACAGCTAGCCAGCATAGTGGGAGGATGTTGGCACTCCATCTTCTACCACTCAAATAAGCAAAAATGAGCCTTCTAAAACTGCTTTATTTTGGTTTTAGTTAGAAATGAAGTATGAAATATGGCCATTATGATGTGAATGAACGAACTTGAACTCTTTGTCTAACTCTCTACTTAGCAACTTCATTAACTGCTGTCTTTCTTAATTATTTTGCTTCTACAGCTAAGCATGTTGGATGCCTGGAACCATTTCAGTTTTCAGTGAGAATCTCTGTTAACATGACTCAATCCCTTGTAAATGCAGACATGCACTCAGCAAATTTGATAAGCCCTGAGATGAATTTAGATGCACAAAGATGGTGAAGCAATCTAATCCTTCCTACAGAAGACAATGTTTAAACAAATTTACTTCATTCAATGAAACACCTGGGCAAGTTTATTTAATATAGTCTTTGCATTTAATTATCCCTGCTGAAGGGGCACTTGCCATATTTCAAATACGATTATTTTCTTTAGTATTAATTATTTTAAGATCCTCAAAGGAAACCTGGAGAAAAATAAAAAAGGAGGCTCTTAATTAACCTGAGCCACCAGAAATCATCTTTTTGGAATAGAGAAGCTGGGATATGGGACTGAAAATAAACAGTACTTTACAAATCAGACTGTCTACATGAATAATGAAGAATAGCTGTTAAAACCTAGACAGAATTCTGTATGAACAAATTGTTGATAGGCATTAATATCAGAAAGGCACACTTCCCCATTTAAACCATCTTATGAATAAAATACAGAAATAGAAAAAATAATTCTGTGAAGAGCTCAGTGCAGGTCAAAATTATTGGCAGAAGTCAAGGAAGTGCAAAATTATCATGTATCCAGAGAACAATACAGCTGAGAGTCAGCATCTTCTTTTCTTTCTTCCTTTTGCTCTTGTGGGGGTGGCATAAAGAAAGCTATTCCTTTTGGGAAGAATTTATTCTGCAACATATTTCTGGCAAGTAGTTTTACCAGAAGTATTCTCACTGCACAATCCTATTACCCTGCCACTTGCAAGAGGGAATACTGTATGCAAAACCAGGAGATGCTGTTCTACCCACCACAACTGGAACTGCAATCAAGAATGGGACTTGTATGTTGTTACTCTAGATAGCAAATAAACACACTGTGGAAACTTGTGCATGAGTAATGAGATCACTACTTTTTTTGCAGCATTAGTACTACATGAAAGAATATTTGCAATAGAGGTTTGCACAGGATGAATGTAATTGTATGTATGTATCATCTAAATGTTGCTTTGGTTGCCTAGGCACAAGAAAGAGAGCAATTGTGTGTGTTTGAGGTTATTATTTAGTATTGCACTCGTAGGCTACTCTTGTTTTAATTATTTAATGGTACTATGCTACTTGAAAGTCTGAATGCATCTTGCAAAGATCACGTTATATGTATCTTAACCTTTACAAGAAGGCAGATAGCACCTCATGCTATCAAGTAACAGGTTTTGCCTTGTATTCCACTCCCTCTATGAACTCTATGTTCCACACTCTGTAGGTATGAAAAGGGATTAGAACCAGTTTTACACCAGAAGTACCTTTGCCTTTTATTCTATCAATTACAAGGTAATTGCATAAATTTTTATTTCCAGTCAAAGTGAGTGTATTTACCAAATCATACTACTGCTTGATCTAGAAAACAAATTAAGCTGTTTTGTGCCACTTGCAAAATTCAAGGCAGCTCTCACTGTTGAAAACAGACTTGTTTTTCCCTTAGTTTTTTCAAAAGGCATGAAGTTTATTTTACTTTTCTGTGGACACTGTATTGGTGCTTATAATCTCCCATTTTCACTATTGGTCAATCAAACTCTTCTGAAAACACTCCACTGGGCTCTGTCTTGGTGCTGAAAGTGTGTTTTCTCTGGGAAACTTTTAAAATTATAGGAAATGTTTGTGAAATATGGGAAATAGTAAGAAAAAAAAAATATTTCCTGATCATCTATGTTTGTGTTCTTTGTAACTAAAAATATTTTCATGATCAAACTGAATTATATAGCTATTTTCCTTGTCACAGAATTGTATTCAAGCCCTATCCAGAGACAGCATGACAAGGAGCAAGTCCAGAGGAGAGCAATGAATATGCTCAGAGTGCTGGGCTACCTCTTCCGTGAAGCCAGGCTGAGAGAGCTGGGGCTGTTCATCCTGGAGAAGAGAATGGTCTGGGATGAACTTAGGGCACCTACAATACCTAAAGGGCCCACAAGAGAGCTGGAGAGGGACTTATGACAGTGGCATGGAGTGACAGGATATGGGGGAATGTCTTCAAGCTGAAAAAGAGTACATTTAGATAAGATATAAGGAAGAAATTATTTACTGTGAGGATAATGAGGCACTGGCACAATTTGCTCAGAGAAGCTGTGGATGTCCCATCCTGGATAGGGGATATAAGCAACCTGGTCAAGTGAAAGGTGTCCCTGCTCATGGCAGGGTGTTGGAACTCGATAATTTTAAGGTCCCTTCCAACCCAAGCCATTCCATGATTCTACAAAAATCAAATTCCTCTCATCTGCAAGGTGGCAGTGAGTTCAGTACGTCACTCTCTCTCAAATCACCCTTTGAATATTGTGTCACGATATTCACACATGGTACCTTTAAAGGTGGCAGTGAATAGAAATCGGAGAGCCTGTAAGGCCTCAGAAGGGGTTGGAGGTCAGAGTTGTGCTGTCCCAGAAGCGGATGGCAGGGCCAGCAACTGGTGGGTGCGCCACCAGGCCAGGTGCTAAGGTGGGCTTCTTGCCCGACGTATGGTGTGACTACCTGGTGGCTGGTCCTCTACTGGCAGAGGCTTCTGTGCCTGCAGACAGAATCAGTTAGGTCGGAAAAGACCTCTGAGATCATATGAGTCCAACCTATGATCGAACACCACCATGTCAGCTAGAACATGGCACTAAGTGCCACATCCAGTCTTTCCTTAAACACCTCCACCACCTCCCTGCCAGCCCATTCCAATGCCTAATCACCCCTTCTGTGAAGAAATGCTTCCTAATGCCCAACCTAAACCTCCCATGATGCAGCCCAAGACTGTGTCCTCTCGTCCTGTCCTGGTTGCCTGGTAGAAGGGCGCGCTCCCCACCTGGCTACAACCAGGTTGCAGGGAGCGTTAAGGTCCTCCCTGAGCTTTCCCTTGTGCAGGGCCGCTTTCCTGCGCGCACTCCCGGCGCTGCCCGCACCGTGCCCCGCTGGGGTCACGGGCACCCGGGGGGCTCCCACCCGCCCTGACACGGCGCGGGGGGCGGCGGGGCGGGGGGAGGCCGGCGCTGAGGAGGAGGAGGAGGAGGAGGAGGAGGAGTGGGAACGAACGGAGAGGGTAAAAGCGAGGGGAGCTGGAGGGAGCGGGGCTGAGAGGGGAGCGAGCGGAGAGTTGGCGGCCGAGGGGCGGGGAGCGGAGCGGGACGAGCTGCCCGAGCTGGCCCGCCCGGGCCATGTCGCGGCGGGAGGGCGGCGGGACGGGGCTGCCCCGCCCGCTGCTGTGGCTGGCGCTGTGCGCGCTGTGCCCGCTGTACCGCGGGGCAGCCCTGCCCTCAGAGCCCGGCCCGGCCGCCTGCAGCCCCCGCTGCCGGCACGGCGGGCTCTGCCTCGGAAACGGCACCTGCCTCTGCTCCAAGGGCTACGAGGGCGAGCGCTGCCAGCACGGTACCGGGGCCCGGGGCGGGACGGCGGGGGCGGGACGCGCTGGGGTCCCTGGGGACGCGTCTGAGTGCCAGCAGGGCTGGGCACAGCTACCTGTGTTCGCTCCCTGTCGCGACAGCCTCCCTGCGAGAAAGCCCTGCGGGAAGGACTGAGGAGCTCGGGTTTGGATCTGGTGTGAGAGGTGGGTGGTTGGGTGCCGGGGAGGGCGTAAATGAGGTGCGGTGGCAGAGGAGGGTAGAGACACAGAGTTTTTGGTGAGGTGAGGCAGTGATAGCAGACTGACAGAGCACAGCCAAGAGCTGGCACGAAGAGCTCGCCTAGGTGAGTAGACCCCTCCGTGGGTCAGTAGATCGTGTTTTACCACCTGGGCATTGGGTAAAGGTTCACTTAGTGGACAGGCTTCTGCTGGCTGCCTTCTGCTGCTTTAACTGTGCATGCTTAAATGCTACCCTGGGAGTATTTAAGGAATCACAGAATCGCGGTGTGCTGTGTGGTCCAACCTCCCTACTCAAGCAGGGGCATCCTAGAGCACGTGGCACAGGATGGCATCCAGACGGTTCTTGAATGCTTTTAGAGGCCTGACGTCTTTCTAAGCTTCAGCAACACTGAACTGATATTTCTAGGTGTGATTAGTCAGAACAGTACTAACAAAAAGATCAAGAAAGTGAGTTGAAGGGAGGTTATGTTCTGGATTTTTTTTTTTTTTATTTAGAATATGTTGTGCTTTTAAAGCTACTGGAGTTTACTTCCTAGATGTTACCTGACCCACAGAATCACTTATACATCCCATTTCCATGGTAGGAGGTGTAAAGCTAAGGTGAACTGAGATCTGTGCCTGTTGGTTTCCAAGAGGAGACAAAGTACTTTTGAAAATGTCACCCAGTATGCAAAAACAAACATCGTGAAGAAGAGTTTTAGTTTAAACCCTATTTAATGTAACGTCTTATTTATAAATCCTTTCTTTTAAAGTTTAACTGCAGAGCTTGTGGGTATTAATTGCTAAAAAGTCACTCAATGTCAGGAGTTCCTTTGCTTCACATGCTATCCGTATGTGAAGAGGTGATATAATTTGTACAATATTTGTTCTAATTTTCAATGTCCTTCATTTAAAATGTGATTTTTTTTTTTAACTCTGAGATAACATGCTGAAAATTTCATTCAATGCTGTAATCGTTCATGGAGTGTTGTTTCATTTGGAGGCTATGGCTAGCAGGTGGTGACAAATGATGGGTAGCCAATGTGTTGTGTAGTGGAGATTAAAAACTATGGTGTATGAACTGTTCCAGACAACTCTTGGATCCTAGATATTTTTGGGTTTTGGGGAGAGGTGAAAGATTGTTGGAGATGGAGATCTATTTTTGAACTAGACAGGTGAACTGTCTGGAATTGTTAAGGGAATCACTGAATCCTTGTTCTCATAAGGTCATCAGTGTAGAAAAAAAATGGATAAATGAAGGTTCATCCCTTGTTCTGTCAAGAAAGCTGAACTGAAAACTGTGAAATGACACAGAAATAGATTTTTTCTTAGATTGAGAACTCTTGTATGGCATTTCCAATTAACTGAGAGCATTTGGTAGAACAGTTAAGGAGAGAACTGAGAACTGGATGGTTCTTTCATACATGTCTCTGTTCTTTATTTGCCTGCAAATACTCATTCTGCAGGTACTAATGTGAAAAATATTCTTCAGTCGGGTTGCTTCAGAGTGCTGTATGAGAACAAAATCAGTGTGGTGTTACTCACTGCTCATCTGTTGCCTTTTCTTCCCTCTGTTTCAGACTTTTCACCCATCCAGTCAAAGGATAAAGCAATGTGATGTAGAGAACTGCAGTTAACTCAGATGACACTCTCAGAAACACTTGGGTTTCTCAAATCTGTGTGTAAATAAACAAATGTTTTCTCAGACACCAGAGCTGATTCAGTAATGATTATGAGTAGCAAGGAGGTCTGTGTGAGAGATAATTTATTTGCAACCTGACTGGACTTATCCAGAATTTTGCAAAATCAGAATGTTTATTTGCATCTTATCCAATCTGTCCAAGCTGTCAGCAGTGAAAAAGTTGCAGGATCTGTGATGATCATAGGTGCTTTTCTCACAATAGATAATTACAATTATGAGAAAAGTTATGTGTATCTCAGATGGTTTCTAAACTAAAAAAAAAGCAGGTGGGGGAGAAAGAAATGCTGACTTACTTCTGGAGACTTTTTAAAGAAGAGGTGTAAGGAATTGAGCATGTAGTTTTTTTGGAGAGGTACACGCAACTCAGGTATGTAGGAATCCAGTAAAGAGGAAAAAGTTGGATACTTCATCTTAAGAATCAGAAGATGCCACTGAAATTGTAGCATTTTTTATTAAATCATTTCTTCTTATGACCTGTTTTCTCACTTGTCATTTCTTGACTTCAGTTTTCAAAAGCTTTTTTGGCAGTCCAGCTGTGTTCCTTCATTCCTTTTTAATATGGATCTTTCTGGTGCCTGTTCTGCCTAGGATCCAAAACATTCCTTAGCTCTGAGTGTTTAAAAGCTTAATAGGGTGGAGTGTTCTTTGTGCGGGGAAGTTATTTCACCTGATCAACAATGTAAGATGACATGGCAAATGTATCTTAGGAAATACGAAGACAACTTATGCAAATATACTAATGTGTAAATTTCTTATGTATTTAAGTAATAACTTTAGTAGTCTTCATCAATATTTATCCAAACTTTCTTTATTGTCTGTCTTACAGCTACATGTTATCCAAAATGTAAAAACAGTGGAGAGTGCCTCCGACCTGGAAAATGCAGATGTCCACCTGGGTATGGAGGTAGATACTGTCATAAAGGTGAGTAAGAGCTAAAAAAGTGGTAGCTTTGAAAGACAAGGAGTTTGAAAACAGACTAAATTAATTTGCGACTCCTCAAGTCCTGTATCTAATACACTTCAAAATAATGACCTTAATTCTGTAAACCTCTGACCCTACTGTCAAGACATGCATGGCCTAGAGGATCTGCATGCTTGCAGGAGGATGGGATGGAGTACATCTACTGAAATGTGTTGGGAGAATCTGAGCAGTATTTTTCACTTGGAAAATACCGCGTTTATGTGTTACATAAATATTCTATTTAGCTCTATAACAGATTCTTTCTAAATAATTTAGTGAGATGACTTGTATAGATCCATATTTCTGCATTAAGTAGTTGAAACCTTTGTGTAGTATCTACAAGACTGGTAATATTGAGAGCAAGCCACTAAAGATACGTGTGTCAATGTATTGTTGAGAGGTAATAGGAGATGACAGAGATGAGGAGTAGCAAAGACCAATTTTTATGGTTTTGTGAAGCCTATTTAATATATGCATGGTTTGGAAAAGGCAATCCAAGAAAACATTGTTATGTTGTTATGAACTGATCAGAATACTGATAACTCAAGTTCTGGGAGTAAAGGGGAAGCAAACTTGAAATAGTTTTAGGGAAAAATTATGTAGTAGGCAAGATATCTCCAGAAAGGGAAGGAAAAAGGAAGTGTTTCTTTCCTTTCAGAAGAAAAGCCTCAATGTGGCAGCTAAAAATTTTTAGAAAATTTTTTTGAAAGGACACTGGTAAATTAGTTGGACAGTAGTTAGTGTGCTGAGGACTTAATAAACATTCTATCTCACTGTGGTCATAGCAGCTAGCAACACCTCACAGGGTTCTCGGTTTATGCTTGATGTTTATTTTGAGGGCATTTTCTTTATGTCCTTCAAATGTGTAATAACTACCAAGAGTTTACTTGGAATGTAACCTAATGGGTACTCAGGGAAGGAACTCAACTAGCTTCTGCAGCTTTCTGCCTTGTAGTTGATGGTTGTTGGGGCTTGGTGGGGTTTTTCTGTTTATTTCTTTCATAAAGCTATATTTGATATTTTATGAAGGAAGTGTGAGCTGAGTACCTAACATGGTCACATCTGTCTAAGTCTGCAGAAGCTTAAACTATAGCTCTGGGATGTTAACTAGACTGAATAGGAATTCAGCTGCCAGTGATAATAATTTCATATCAAAATTGTTAACATTATAGAGGAATAGAAAAGATGAGAATGTATCTTCTGGTGAAGATCTGTATAACACAGTGCTGTTACATAATGCATTGGGAAAGAACTATGCAGTTTGAGTAGACATAACAGTGTTGACAGAAATGAGGCAAACTGGAGCATGGTCAGCTTAATTTTCGAGCAAAAGAATTTTCAACTTTTTTTTTTAATGTCTCAAAAGCCAACTGAAAGTGTAGCTTTGTGGAATCTTGACAGGGACCCCCCAAGAAAGGGGAACTTGATATTCTCGCAAGAGTCTAAATCAGAAATAAGGTGAGTGGTACTACTTAAACAGAAAAAGCAGAGTGAGGATTCAGTTTATGCTGATACTACAACCTGGACTTGGATTTGTATCTGAGTAAAAGTCTTTCTTGTATTTGCTTATAACGCCAAAGTCGCAGGTTTGATCCCTGTAAGGGCCATTCACTTAAGAGTTGGACTCAGCGATCCTTGTTGGTCCCTTCCAACTCAAAATATTCTGTGATTCTGTTATCATGTTATCCCTGTAAGGCAAAGGTGAGGCTTGTGTTCACCTTGTACAAACTTGTGGTGAGGACAATGTGCTATTACAGAATCGCACAGAATCACAGAATGGGTGAGGTTGGAAGGGACCTCTGGAGGTCATAATTTCCAACCTCTCTGCTCAAGCAAGGCTACCTACAGCCAGTTGCCAAGGGCCATGTCGAGATGGCTTTTGAATATCTCCAAGGATGGAGACTCCACAACTTCCCAGGGCAATCTCTACCAGAACTTGGTTACCCTTTCTGTGAAGCCTTGCTGGCTATTCCTGATGATTTACCTTTCCTTAATGTGCCTGGAAATGGTTTCCAGGGTCAGTTCTTGTATTACCTTACCAGGGATTGAGGTGAGGCAGATCAGCCTGCAGTTCCCTGGGTCCTCCTTACCCTTCTGGAAGATTGGAGTGATATTTGCTTTCATCCAGTCTTCAGGCACTTTTCCTAGTTACCAAAATCGATCAAACACAATCAATATTAAATACATTAACATATATAATGTGACAAAGAAATATGCAAACAAGCTTGAAGAGATTTTCCAGCTGTTCTGGAGTTGACTTGCTTGTCCTTGCATGTTCAGTATTTGTGCCAAAAATCTATTAGCTCAAAACTTGTGGTAGAACAGAGATTTGGCCTTTTTGTTTTCGTACAAATTATCAAGCAGACATCCCATTTGTCCATCTTTATAATGAAGGATAGTTGTTCCTCTTCAGTGCAGTGAAGGTGGTGTATAATTTACATTCATGCTTGTGAAAGGAAGCATTTGATTGTACAGAAGAGTGATTGTGCCACTTTTCAAAGGTGTTGCTCACCACAGTTGATACCAATCATATGTCTGGCATAAATAACGCTTCATTAGTGAAACCTGCAGGGCTTTGATGTGTGGAACAGTTCTGGAATGAGGAGGCTAGCTTAGATATTTGGCCTTTAGGAAGGCACTGCTTAGGTTCATTTGTCAAAGTGATATCCATTTCTCTTCTTCCTCTTGTTACATGTAGGTCCTGTCAGGTAAGGAAATATGTACATCCTTGACCACATGTTATTGGCTTACCAGCTGTGATTTGGCAAGTTTGATATGAATATGCATGTTAGTAGTTCCTGTGGTGTAGCTGATGAACAGTGGTGTAGCTGGTGAGCAGTTGGCTCACAGCTGGGGAGGGGAGGAGCTGTGCCACAGCAATAATACTCTCAGGCTAAATGCTCAATAAGCTTTTAAGCATATGCCTAATTTTAACTGCTTTCTGAGGTGACATTTGCAGTTGTGATTCTGTCATCCTCACTCATCCCTTAGAGAACTGTGCCTTGCTCTGAAAAGTCATTGCGGATGTGATAAAACAAGTAGTTGATGCTAGACCACCTGTTTAAAGATAATTGTTTGAAGTCCTGTGCTGCTTCTGAAATGCATGGCATATGCTGTCTTCTGCAGTAAGCTGTGAAGGAGGATGTCAGAATGGTGGGGAATGTGTCTCTGTCAGTGGAGTTGTGAAGTGCCTTTGTGCTTCTGGCTGGACGGGATCAAGATGCCAAGAAGGTGGGTATCTGCATTCATGAAAATGTCTATATTGATTAAAAATAGAACTGCAGTAACAAAACCATTTTAAAAGTATTAAGAGACTAATAACTATGGAAATGTCATTGCACTACTACAGAAATGAGTGACATACATTAATGGTGTATACCAGATAAAATCATGTGAAATTACTTTTGTCAGGTGTACATCTGTTAAGATTTAAACCAAAAATCATAGCACAATAAGTAAGTACTTTTTTTCCCCATTTTCATAGTCCTGGAAGTGCCTTTGGAGTTATACCAGCTGAGTATCTGGCCTGGCAGAAAATGTGTTTTGCTATTTTGATTTGTATCATCCTGAATCTTTCATTCTGTCAGGATTCTTTTATATCAGTTTTGCAAATCCTGCTGACTTATCCATTCTTTTTCTTCTAGCAATTTGTCCTCAAGGTTGTCGGAATAATGGAGCTTGTGTGGCTCCTGGGATTTGTAGCTGTCCAGCTGGATGGGTCGGTGGAGCATGTCACTTAGGTAAATGACTTCTGACATTTCTCATTTATCCTTTCCTCTGCTTGTTTGATTTACCAATATAGTGTTCAAATCCTCAGTGCCTAACAAAGCTTCTAGGGAAGTATCTTAGAATAGTAACTGAGAGCTGCTTCTGCATACTGGGGCTCTTACAAGTATGCATAAGGAGTAGACAGTTTTTTAATTTGGTCAAAACCAGAATTTTTCCACTTTGACCGAGATTCAGATTTTGGTTGTCACCAAATAAATTACATTGTATGTCTTGTCAGTATTTCTGAAATATTTTTTATAAACCGAGACCCTACAATAAAGAACTGAAAATGGCCATTACAGAAATATTATTGCTACTGGTGTGGGTTAGAAACTTCATTAAATTTTATGGACATATAAAACTGAAACTTGATTCTGACTTTGAGGGTAAGTTGGCAGAATCAATTCCAGGTGCTCTTAGAATTCTGAGTAAGAGAAAACTACCTGTAGTCAGTATTAGTACTGACACTCTTGCTGAGCAAACACTGGTATTTTTACAAATTTTGATTCACAAAAGCAAATTAGTAGAAAGTCTTTAATCTACCCTTCTTGGGCCTTGTACGCTTGTAGCAGCACTGCCCTGATGTTAAAAGCTTTTAAACTGGATATCGTGGGTGTAAGGTCTCTGGATTAAGTCCTCTGCATTTGAATTTTTTGTGTGGCTGTAGGAATCTAAATCAGCTAGTGTTAGTTCTTCTGCAATTAATATGTTCAAGTAAACATTAACAAATAATACTTTGACCATGCAAATCTTTATCCTTTGTATTTGTCAGCATCTTAAGATAGAGGGTGATATTAAAAGCCAGCTGTGGGAGATGCAAAGAACTTGCAAAATGCTTAGCTCCATTCCCTGCAGCTGCAATAGTGGTAGAAGTGATCAAGTTCTTCATGTCAAAATCACTGTTCCTAAACTAAGTAGATCTGCATCAAGTTTGACTTTTGTTGGTGCAGATGCTCATAAGCAAATTGCAGCCCCTGGCTTGTTAACTGAACTGTGTGTAGCTAGGGGACAGCTGAAGCTGAGCCCTTCTCTGCCCTTCCTGTGGTGGAACAGAAAGTGATGCCTGTTTTTTCTCATGGATGTGGATCCAAGAACTCACTTAAATTTTCAGCAGGAATTTTTATGGTTCTCTCACTTTCATGGAAGCATCCATCTCAAAAACAACCTGTACCTTAAAGAACAGAAATTATAGTATTTTAAAAGGGAAATGGAGCATGAATAAGACTAGACATACTGTGCCCGTATTCCAGTGAAGGCCACAATGCCATAAATTGAGAGGCATTGCTTTTCAGTTCTTCCATTATGCTGTTATTTATACTGTGCCCGTGCAGTCACCAGGGAACAATTCTGCTACCACAGTGAGAAGAAAAAAAGTGATCCTGTATTGTGCTGAAGACATACTGTGTATCTGGTGTCTCATTTCAGCTGTATGTAAACTACCCTGTCAACACGGAGGGAAGTGCATAGCTCCAAACGTGTGCAGATGTCGACTGCCATACTCTGGTCTGCAGTGCATGAAGAAAAGGAAGGAATGAAGCAACTTCAGCAAAGATAAATGCTTTTCTATATGAAAGTATTGCTGATTGTAACTAAGTTGTTCTAAGTATTCAACTGTGTGTAGTGTATGGTACCTTTTCTTCTGTTCTCATTTTTTTCTTAATAAGCAGAAGTGTTATGTCTTGGTTGATACAGCTGACCTTGAAATAAAATTTGTTCTTCAAATCAAGTACTTCAGAGTAGGTCTCTTCTCTACTTTTTTATTTTTTCCCCCTTTGATTAGAATTATTGTGTTCTATTATTTACGTGTGTTTTAAAAAGCATATGAAACAAAAAGCCCTCAGATCAGCAGAAGTGGATGTTAGTTCAATGATAATTTCACTTCAATGAGATTAAACAGTTGCAAGAGGAAATTTGCAGTTTGCATCTTTTTGGAACATTACCAGTCTGCAAAGCATCTTATTTAAATCCTGGTTATCACTTTATGTCTGCTTCCTGCCCCTCCCCCCCAGTCAGATCTGGATCTTGATCAGTTAAGCAGTATTTAGAAAAAACCCTACACCAATACCAAAGAAACACAATACTCATTCAAACAATTCTGCTGTTACTTTCTAAAAGCTTAATCCATACTGATACTCTAAAAGAGTCCTTATCTTGACCGCTTCTACAGTCATATTATTTGATCATCTCTCAACTTCCAATTATTTCTTCTCCTTAACCCAGTGAGATAGGGAAATGTGTTTTTCTTCTGGAGACACTGACAATTCTTTTCCATTCAAGACTGTGTTGTTATAGGAGCAGTACATCAGGAGGCTACGGACTGGCAGGGAGGAAAAACTGTGCCTATCACAAATCACCTGCATGGAACATGTTGAGGCCTCCCTTCTGGAGGTATTCCCATGTGGCCTTATTTAGATTTTGCAGCCTTTTGATCAGGCTGCATATTGGACTGAGACTCATATGTCCATTGTTCCATGTCTCATTTGTGCTGTTGCTTGAATGCTGCAGTTGAGGAAGGTTTTGCCCAAACCTGTGAGTTGAATCAGTCAACTTTCTGAATGGTGCTCAGATCAATTATTTTTTTGAGATAGATTGGTTTTCATTGTCTTCTAGGTGAAACTGGAATTTTTGGTTGGAGAATTTTAGCTATGCATTACTTTAGTCCGTTTGTTGGAATAACATTTTAACTTATGTGTAAACTCCCTCACCAAAACATGCAGTAGATCTCGTGGGCAGAGTGACTTATTATGGGCATGTTTCTCCGGGGATTACAAGCCACTGAGTAAAAAGGCAAGGGTAATAGGGTCTTCTCAGTTACCAGCCTTCCCTAAAAGAATGCAGGGAGCAAATGAAAGGCAAGGGTGTAGTTCATGAGACTCCTGATTTCTTGTTGTGAGCAATTGCTGTGTGGCACAGTCGAGCTTTCCTCTGCCCTTGCTTTGGAGGCTGTTGCATTTCTTTCAGACAAAACATGCTACAGGCATGTTGTGCAGGATTTGTTCCCAGAGACAGAGGACCACATAAGAGGAGTGCATGGTTTTTATGCTGCTTTTACTGTGATACACTGGCTATTTCACACCTACTAGTAAAAAAAAGTGATTTTCATGCATGAAACAAGATGATTTCATCAGTGGTTCTGAAGTAGGCTTGATGTTGATGAAATTTAGTGTCACAGTTCATTACAATAATCATGCCATAATTCAGAAATTCAGGAGCTGAATACCTTAGGTGACATACTGGTTGCAGGGGGGGGGGGTGAAGTGGAAAAAATTACTTACATCAGACCAAAGATTCAGAGTAAATGAGCAGAACTATGCAAATAAAAAGTAGCATATCTCAGTATTATTCCCAAAAGACTGACTTCTGGTAGTACAGACAAAACTGACAATAATGGTGACTAGAAGCTGGAAGAGATCTTGACATTGTTAGGAGTAAAATGAGCAGTCAGTGAGATGTGTAATTGGTGTTTCTGAGCAGGCCAAAACAAATGCTGATTTAATTAATTTCTTCTTTAGAAACGACTGAAATAAGTAAGAAGTCGTTTGATAGCACACAGAAAGCAATGTCATATTTTAGAAATATTGCTTGAATGTAGCACCATCTACTGGCTACAGGGTTTTTAATGGGTTTTTCTTTGTTTATTCTGTTAAGAAGTATAATTTATTTTTAGAATTCAATTAAATTTTAAGTGAGATTAAAAGTGAAAATCAAGGTCCCCACATTATTTCCACATTCCACGTACATTTACTAAAAGAACTGTTAGTAATTCTTGTCTTTTGTTTGTTTTCCACTCGCTGGAGGATTGAATGTACAAGTTACAGAATGTGGTTTTTGGAAACTGATGTGTCTTTCTGTGGGAAGTGAGTCATGCATGCAGCTCAAAGGTCAAGAAAAACAATACAGAACATGTTAGCTCTCTTACTTGTTAGAGCTAATTGTAACTATAGTTAGTAGGATGCTCTGTTTTTCACTATAAACAACTGGAAACATTGTAGGGATATTGCACTGGTTGCATTTTTGATACTCTGTCTTTTTAGAGTGTGCATGGAAATGTGAAAAGTGTTTCTTCTTTCTAATTTAGTTGCACTCACATTTTACCATTTATATTTTCTCTTACTAATGAGTGGTTGTTACAAGAATTGATTTAAGTGGTTTATCTATAAAATATCATTTACTGACTAAACGGAGCTGTGGGCGGAAGTTGGATAAAATGACCCAACACCTTTATGTGACACCTTTATGTGACAGAAAGGTCATAAAGATCTTTAGTCATTAGTAACACTTTCTAACCTCTATGTTTGGGTTGGTATATCTACCCAGATGTTATGTTTTATGGAGAATTTAAACTTTGTAACTTCTCATTTGGACAAGTAATGGAGTCGATGTAACCAATTTGTCAAGTAGCTTCAGTTTTTATACCTATTTTACTTTTGTGCTGATTCTTCTTTATAAGTTTGCTTTTGTAAATGAAAATGTTACCTTGCTTCTCTTCACAGCTCTGAGAATATGTAATTAACTTTTGTAAAAAGAAAGAGCCTTTCTCATGGGGCCCACTTGTGGTTTTATTTTCAAATCATGGCTAACGTGGCTGGCTGTGATATCTCCTGTGATACAAGTCCTTCCTTCAGAAATCATTGATTGTACTGCATTTTAAAGATCTTTTCAAGATCAGGGACAAAAGTCAATCTGCACTTGGCCTGAAGAGCAACTGTAGTACAACCTGGTAATAAATGGATGATGTACACAGGTACCTTCCAGCACTCTGTAGTGTCTAAAGAAATCATGCAAGAAAATTCAGCGAAGATGCCAGTGTTCTGCATAGTGTGCTAAGGGTCACTGCAAGATCTTCAGTTTGGCACAAGTGGCCGTTCCTTCCGTCAGATCAGAACTGTGTCAACTCCAGTAGTGTGCAACCCTTCTCTCCCTGTCCCAAATCCCCTAAATCTTTGGGGTTTAATTTCAGATTGCAAGTTTGGAACAGTTTTGTTAACCTCAGTACCCAAGCACTCTCTGTGCTTACAGTGAATTCTGTTTCATGTTATGATGGACAATCTAGAAACAAAATAGTTTCAACTAATCACATAATTACTGGACAGTTTTGAAGTAGCTGTCTGGCCTCTTGCGTGTACTAGTAATTTTTCTGCACCATGTGTTTGCTGGAAAATAGCACAGCTTAGTACTGAGCATTTTTAGCTACTATAGCAAAACTGTGGATATGCTTTTGTTCACACAGCTTGTGTTTGGAAAATGTAAACAAAATAATTTCTGCCTTTAGAACCATTGAAAATGAATGGGAAATACTAAAAGTTATGATAAAAAACCCCTTTATTCAGCCTGAAATCCTAGAAATGCACATATACATATTAAGTTTAGTGAACAGAGGGTTGCAGAAACTCATTAACCAAAATATTATTAGCAGTGTTCCAGGCAGATGTTCTTTCTCTTTAGCACAGTACCTCTGTAACTGGCATGTAGAACTGGGGGTGATTACAAAATGAGATTATGTGATACCGGGGTGTTTGCACTTTAAAAACATTTTCAGAACCTTTTGTATTCAAAGCATCATCCTGAGGCATCAGTTCCAAGAGCTACTCAGGTTTTGTTCATCGAGATCTTTGTGAGGTGTGAGAAAGGTTTTAAATAACAGAATAGTTCTCAGATTATCGAGCTATCAGCCACTGAGATACTTGATTGAAAGAAACTATGGAAACACTGACATTTAAAATGCAAGTGGGAAACTGAAAATATTTTTTAAATACACAAGTCAGGTACTTGGAAATCCATCAGGTATCATTCTGGAATGATGCTGAGCTCTCAAACTGCCATCTTACTTTGCAAAATTACTTAAGAGGACTATCAAAAGGTGAGGAGAAATCTAGGCACAGAGCTGCTAAAAGCTGTGATTTGGCAATCAGCATCCCAGAGTGGCAGTAAATGGCAAAATGAGCTCTTATTTTCTTCCCGCTCAGAATTAGAGCATGTAAACTAAATATTGCTCAGGAAAACAGAAAGTCATGATGTTTAATTTTGGTCTAAAATAAACAAAACAGTAAATTTTAATGGCTTAAGTAAAGGGGTGTTTGTGTCTTTTACTAGAACTCAAGTTTGTTGTGGTGGGAACTGAAATGTCTTTAACAGCTCTAGGAGAGGGTAGCAGTCTTCTGTAGGAAATTTAGGAAAAAATGGGATTTTATTTGTTCAAAAACTACCTGGCAGCTGGTAGGTGCTAACAGTTCAGAAATCCTCTAAGAAGGCCTTACAAATACTTTCTGACATGATGGGTACAGATGGCATATATACAACAAATTTCTCTGCTTATTAGTTCCCATTTTAGGATTCAGCATTGCTAAAAGCATTGTCAAATTTCTCCTAGAGACCTGGGGACAAAATTTCCTCATATTACTGAATGCTATCTCAAAGGAGGGGCCTAAAGTCTTACAGACACAGCAATAATTCAGTAGCTGGGTACTCAAATTTATAAGCGTTAAGTAAGGAAGTCAAAACAGAAGAGCTGGTATCTGGCTTGTGGCTACAAAGGCTTGTCATAGATAAAATAAGAGCTGTTCTGCATCTGGTTGACTGTTAACAAGACAGGAAGGAAGCCTCCACTGTTAGTAGCCCAACCTCAGTTCAGGTTCCCCCACCTTCCTCCCTACTGACTTGTCATTATACCAAGAATGATGCAAATACAAGAGAAGAAGAAAAACATAGTTCTGCTTTTTCTTCTGTCTGCAGCCAAATAACACATAATGTAAACAGTGTTTAAAAACAGAAGGTACCATTCAGGAAGTGCTGCAGTGCTGCCTTCCTTGCTGGAGACACTCACTCAGCAGCTGTTAACAATCTTATCCCCACAAAGGAAATCTCGTAGTCCAGCTGACTGCATCAACAAACTGCAGAATTCTGAGTTTGCATCAGTCATCAGATCCGTAAGTCCAGTGAAGACATCAGAGGCTGTGGGGTTTGTGCATGAGGTAGCAAAAAATTATAGTAATATACGTATGCTTTAATGACTACAAGATTGTTGTTTTGAAGCTCACCAATATTTGTGACTAATACGTATCTTTAAAAATAACACTTCTGAATATTCCTTTCATTTAAATAAACTCTGTAATTGCCTTTTTTTTTCAAGTCTCATACATCCATGAAGCATTGCAATTTAATTGATACACTTCTTCAGTCCTGATGCCTTTGTACCTGGGAGAGAGAGAAAAAATAAATTAAAACCAGACTTTAATGATGCAGCCTGTGTTTATGATAAAGTTATCAATGAGTTTCTGCTTTCCTGATACACAATGTCAATGTAAGTTAAAATTGTGCCTATAGCTCTTTCGTTTCTTAAAGAAAATGTGCCATTTTGATCAATACAGCACTGTCTGACTGATCATCAATATGTATTTTCTAGATTAAAAATATGTTAGTGCTTTGCAGTCATATTTATGTAAACATTTAAATCAGAATATTCCTCTCTTTAGGTTCCATTTTGGAAACCCATATTGCAAAAAATAGCCTCTTATTGTCATATGATGTATAGTTTTATATTTTCAAAATATGTATGAGCGTTTCTCTCTTTCAATTTCTGAAACACATCTGCCCCATCTCTCAATTCTGCTGGCACCAGAAAAATGTTTATAGATTGAAATTAAAAGAAGAGAAACATTACAGATGATGCAAGAAGAGCCTACTTTTACTTTACATGTCACAATGAAGTTACTTGTAAGGAAATGTTTAATTAAACTACTTCAGTGAGTGACTGTCAGCACTCAAGCAAGGGAATCCAACAGAAAATTGTGTGACAAAATAGAGAAATTGCCATCATACCCTATAATGCAAAAAAGTAAAGCTATTTCCAAGTTACACTTGTGTATAAGGAACATTTGTATAAAACAAGGATGAACCGAGTGGCAGTGCAGTTAGTTGGGAAAAGATCAGGGCTTGACTTGATGCAAGCTAAGAAAGCCAGCAGCGGGACACTTCTCCCTGAAATGGGGCCAGATGCTGGAAGAGAGAATAGTGGTTGTGAAGAGGATAGTTACCAATCCCTGCTGCATGACAAGAGATAATCAGCTTAATTTGAAACAAAGGAAATGTACATTAGGTGTTAAGAACAATTTTTTAAATATTAAAGCCTAAAATTTACTGAAATAGCTCTTAAGAATTTCATTAGTTTTCCCTCACTGAAGACTGAAAGGGAGAAATCAAACTAAATACACATTTGGTGTATATTGTGCTGCTTCATTGGACAAGGGTGGGCTAGATAACGACTCCCAAATCACTCTATCTGTGATGACATCTTGACTCCACATGTACCTGAATTTTCTTCCCACAGAGGACTCCAGTATAACCTGGACGACAAGAGCATACGTTGGGCAACACACACTTGCCTCCAAACAGACACTTCTGGTTGCACACAGCTGAAACAAGAGATATGTGGCTTTATTCATCGAAACAGCCTGGTGGAGGAGAAGTGGCTACTATTTCTATACACTTATTCTGTTTGCTTATAGGAGCCAAGAACTCAGTATTTTCTCAGGGAAACACCCCTCAGCATAAGGAGACTTAAAGGTCATGTGGAAGCAACAAAGTTCTTATGCCCATCCCCTCCCCCTCATGCTTTGATGCAGATTTAATATGAAAACATGCCAAGGGTGTGAATGAGACTGAGCAAGGAACATGAGTAAGGTGTTTTTTAATGCATCTTACTATTTCAAGCCATTGCAATGGCCTCTCAGGGCTGGTACAGCAGTGTACAGTACTAGAGCAAGCCAGCACATACTGCCATGGTCCCAGACAGCCATCATATCCTGGAGGGCTTCAGAACGGGCAGAGGAATCTCTACTCTTTATCCTGCCTTTGACAAGATTAGGCTAAAATACAACCAAGGTACAGGACTTCAAGGCTCTGCATATGGCTGTACCGTGCAGTCTGAACTGCGCTGAAGCAAGAGGTTTCAGGTCACATCATTCTTACGTGTTTGACATTGGATTCCTTCCCACTGTGGAGGACAATGACATGTATTCAGTCCAATACACTCCCCACCATTCTTACATTCCTGAAGACAGATTGCTGCACAAACATCATCACAAAGTTTGGTTAAATTCCAAGTGGTTACTTTGACTTATGACTCAGATTTCAGGATGCCCGTGAGAGGCTGAGTGCTTTTCATACACAAGAGTCACATCACCTTCACTGAAATATCTATCTAAGATCAACAGGATATTAAAGAAGAGAGGCAACTGGAAACAAAAAGCCCTATGGCTGAGATGTTCTGCGGCATCACAGATTGCTACAAAAGCCTGAAATGTGCTAAATAGCTTTGTGTTTTCCAAATTTACCTTTCTAAACCCCATACCTTGGCGAAAGATCTTTTGTCTGTCATGCAACTGAACACACGGTGAATCAACTCATAAACATTTGATCCAAAGTTATTTTCTGTGACCCATTTTTCTGCACATTTGTCCCTGCTTATTAAACCATAATCTAACCCGCTATTATTTCCATTCATTAGGTGCCTATTTGATAATCAAATCTCTCTTCCACAGTGTCCAAGAATATCTCATCCCTGTCAATACTCGTAAGATTTTTTTCAACAAAAAAAACCCTTTCCAATAATTACAGAAAGTAATGGAGGGAAAACTGTTTTTCCTCCATGCCATTAGAGAGCTCATTGCCCACATCAGTTCCTGAGCCTTGGATGAGTACTATGACAGACACTATCACTTTAGCTGTGGGATTTCTACCACCCATCCTCATGCTGATTTTCATGCAGATTGTGCTTTTATCCACGCTGACAGATTTTCTTTATGCACCATCAGTATCTTCATTAAGGTACAACGCGACCCACAGATGTTCTAGGACATCACAGTCCTATTTCTGCCTGTCCTAAAGAGCTTGTGCTCATTGCATCTTCTATTTCAATTGCTTCACACTGTTTCCACAGTTTTTTCCATCTTTCACTGAACTTTTTCTATCTGTTTTTATTTCCTACAGCACAAATTGGATTTCTTTCACTTTATTGAACTCAGCTCCTTGCAGAAATACAGACAAGAATTAAGAAAGAAACAGATAATATTTGCTATACAAGAATTTAAAAGATATTTTGATCTCATGATTTAGCCTAAGAACTGGATGGTATTAGTTCTCCATCCTAAATTTCGCTTCCAAGCTACAGACTACTATTTTTTCAATGCATGTACATTCTTAAGTTCTTTGGCACTAACTTCCTATTACTTGTGTGGACAGAGTTACCTTAAATCATATATTACTTTTAAGGTATGGTTCTCCTGTTAACTACAAGGGACTTACGAGTGTCACATCTTCTTCCTCTCCATCCTGAAGGACAAGAGCAAATGTTTGGGCCGACACATCTTCCTCCATTCATACACCTTGGCTCACAGATGCCTTAAAATCAAAAATGTGCTGTTTAATACATTTAACTGATTACAGAATAATTTATTGGTTATTTTTGGATCCTGGAAGGATTTTAACACTGGCTTACTTTTTTCACATCTTCCACCCGTGTACCCATCAGGACAACTACAGACATTATTTCTCATGCAGTGACCACCGTTCTTACAAGGCGGGCTGCAAACAGCTAAAAGACAGAAACAGGAGGAAAAGGCTGTAGTTTGCATTTTGTTTGACTCAGTGATATACTTCTATGAAACAAGAGAGCAACATTAAGATTCTGACAGCTTGTATAGATGTTCAGCACTATCAGGCCAGTGTTGTAAAAATCATATTAATGTGGTTTGGTGCCAACATCAATAGTAAAGACAAAATCAGATAAAAAGGGGTCAAGGCTGGCAACTGTATGTGTACATGAGTAACTAGGTTACACAAAATATACAACGGAACTGGCTGAATGCTGCTCAAATGTTGAGTGGAAGACAAGACAAATTTTGAGTCTCCCTTCTCCTTAGACACTCATTGAATCAGTCATAAAATCTAAAAATTAACATAGTATCTGTTTTGCACCACTTCTCAGGTACGTGACTTGATTGCTAATTTTGTGTCTTAATGTATTCTCACATGTTGTCTCATAATGGCAGCTAAGGGGTGAGGGTAAGAAAAAATAGAAAATATTACCATTCTGACACTGGGCACCAAAGAATCCATGTGGACAGAGGCAAACATCTGGCTTAGTGCAGGAACCACCATTGAGACACACAGGATCACACCTTGCTGCAGAAACAGGTTCAGGAAGATTGGGAAGCATGACATCCAAATAAGGTATATAAAAAAATGTGTGTGTGTTGCAAGGACAGGAACTAAACACCTAAGACAACTGCAGGTAACACCACTCCCACAGAATCTTCTCCAAAATTAAAGGATCAGCATAAGACTTCCAAGAGGTGCTGGCAGCAAAACTACTACATGCAGAGACACGAGGGAGTGCTGGGGCTGTGCTGCAGTAAGCAACTGCCCATCGCTGGTCTCTGAGTCACACAGTTCCAGGTTTCAAACTATGGGAGGTCCCACGGACACTCTATCAGGAAGGTGAAACTTGTAGGAGTGTTACCTGTACTGCATGTAGGTCCGTACCACCCAGGTTTACACTGGCAGATGTCTGGAGTGAGACATTCACCACCATTTTCACAATGTCTGTTGCAAACCACTGCCATCCAGAAAGTTGGGCAGAAACAAAGGAGAAGGCAGGGGAGGAGACGGGGATGAGGGGAGAGAGAGAGATATGTTACAAATTATGCTGGATAAATTTTTCAGTTCTTTCCCAAATATCAACGCTGGAAATAACATACCACTAGCTGAAGAGGAATTGCTGAACAGATTAATCCAGTCTCAAACCCATAACAGCTAGCACTAGACAAGAAAGTAAATAAAATGTCTTTCCATGCAATTATGCATGATTTGGTTATGTTCAGTAAAAATCTAGAAAATTTCAAAAAAATTCTAAAACAAATGGAAAATGTTATACTAAGAGGCAAGTGGATCATGTTACATGATGGGTTTGAAGGACTCCAAGGAAGTTCAGTCAAATATCTTCCATCACTTCAGCAAGCGCTCATAGTGACACGAGACAAACAGGCAAAGACATTTAAGTAGTACATTCAAGTGAATGGTATATAAACAGCATGCCTAAATTTGGACTCTCTGAACAATACAAATTACCAGTATGAAATCTAGGCAAACCTTTATAGTCCATTATGTTTTCAAAGTTGTGTGCAAATATTATCTAATATTCAAAAAGCCCAAATATGGGTTCCTTCAAAGAGGCAGAGGTATTATGTCATTTGCTAGCATTAGACAGAGTGCATCAAAAATTTAAACCGTAATTTGCTTTCTTGCTCCTGAAGAACAGAAGCAAATGTTCCGTATTTTTCCCTTATACTTCTTTTGCTTACTTGTATCACATCTTGGTCCCACAAAACCATATGGGCAGGTGCAGAGATTTCTGGCCAAACACGTGCCTCCATTTTGGCAGGGTGGTTTACAATGTGCTGCAGATACAGAATTATGTTGTTCAAGAAATCAGCTCCACAAAGATGCACGGATTGGTCATGCTTTATAAAAAGGGAAATGTTAATAACTGGTGGTGAGCAAAGAACTGGAAATAAAATAAGGAGACATATGCTATGCCTTTTGACAAGAATAACAAGAAGAATTTCATTCCAACAATACACAAAGTCCCAGCAGTGGTGGCCACCCTGAAAAAAGAAACCTGACACAATTTCCAGAGAGTACTTCCCATTCTTCAGGACTGTGTAGCTTAGAGGCAATTACATTCACTGGTGAAGTCCTCTACTTGCTGTGAAAGCTAAATTTAGGAATATCCAATCACAAGTAATGTTTACAGTGTATATCAAGAAAATTAGGATATACAGTAATGTGTTACTTAAGAGTTCTGTTAAAGTAAAAGTAAAATGAGCATACCTCTTTGCTGTCAGAATGAACAGTCATGGAAGATATTCACAGCATCCTTTGGGTATTTATGCATTCAAAAGCAAAAAATACTCTATTTACCTTCCTCACAAGTGGAGCCACTGAATCCTGGTAGACATTCACAGACATTTGGCTTAATGCACTTCCCACCGTTTTTGCAATCAGGTCTGCACAGGGCTGTGCAAAAAAATCAATATCACTCTCCAAATCATTAATTTGTGCATAGGAGTTACCATAGGCAAAATCAAAATGCCATACTCACTGGTCTGACAGTTATAACCAGCATAACCAGGCTTGCATTTACAAATATTGGGTGCCACACACTCCATATTTTTGCCACATGTTTGTCTACATCTTGCTGAAAGGCAATGAAGAAAACAAAGAAAGGAATAAGGAAAATAAAAGTGGCATTTCACACAACTGTGTTTTACCTAGCGTAATACACAGATCACAGTGAATCCATTATGTCACTGCCTATAAATGGGAGTCTAATACACATCAGAAAAATATTTTTAAGTGCATCCATACAATGAAAAGCCTGTAGGCTATGCCAATATTAATAATGAAATTGAGAAAATTCAATACACCATGCTTTTCATTGATTATACAGTAACAATGTACTTTCAAGTTACAAAGACATCTCAAGATCCTTTTCTTCAAGGCGTTTAAGTTCAGTCATTTGTAATACCTCTGCAAGTGAAGCCATCTCCATAATAACCGTAAGGACAATGACCACACTTGATGCTTCCATCCTGATTTGGCTCACAGCGTACACCAGGAAAACAGGGTAAATCAGTACAGCTTATTGCTTTAGGAATCACTGCTTCACTTAATTCTTCAGGAAACATTTTTGGTGGGACAGTGACTTCAACAAGGGTAAAAGGTAAATTACTTGCTTTATGCTTGGCTAACAGGTGTAGAACTCTCTGAGCACTGCCACCTCTGAATGCTTTGCTTGGCAAAGAAAGTCCTTTGCTTATATTTGCTCTGCTGCTAGAAGTCTTCCTGCTACTCTCAAAATAGCTGTAGTCCTCAACTTGTGCCCTTGTTTTCTTCTCAGATGATACAGCATGGCTCCCTGAAGATGCAGTCATCACAGTATGTACTGAAGAACTCACTTCCATGTCAGCAAGGTGACCACTGATGAGAGCGTGAGCAATGTTTCCAGTAATAGCAGGTTGTAAAGAAGCACTTCTCTGAGAATCAAGTGACTTCCAGGCAGTGATTGTTTTTACTGTGGAGGCTGGTGGTGTGCTGCTACTGAACATTTCTGTAGAAATAAATCTCTTTGGGACATCTGTAGAACTGGGATTATAGCTTGAGATGCTTAAAACCTTCTCAAAGGACGATTGTTGAAACCCTGCAGCATGTTAGAAAGAAAGGTGGGGAAATTATGTGAACACTGACAGACTCTTTTCCTTCTGAGGGTGGGGCATGCTTTCTGAACAGATAAACATACAGCCCATTCATTCTGTGATTCAGGAAGTCCCTCCATGTGCTACATCAGAATGTAAACATGCAGTAGAACCTAACTGGTAGAATTAGAGAAGATCAAGGTATTCTTTTATGTCCTTTCTCACCCTCACCTGTGGCCTTTTCTTGGCTGGAAGATAAGGAGAAATCACCATATATATGAGTCAGACAGCAGAGATTTTCCCACATCACGTCAATAAAGAGATTTACTGTTAGAGCAGATTACCAGCTCCATATATGACTTCCAGCCAGGTAACTGAAAGGATTTAAAGAAAAGATACTGCATATGGTTCATCGGTGTGTCTAAATGCTAGTAGTAAGCTGGGAGTCCAGAAGCAAAGATTTAAGTGCAAGTATATAGGTGATTTTACTTACTGATGCACCATGGACAATATTCTTGGTGAATAATCCACCACCTTATTGCAAAAGTATTACCATCTTTTACTTCTCAAACTTTTTAAGCAACTTTCTTAAAGTTTCTGCATGGGTTTTATTAGTGCGTTTTGCCTGTGTTTTCTAAACAATAGAGACTGACTCAGCCTCCTCATTGAAAGGAGTGCAAAATGAATGAAAAGTTCTTCATATTCTGCCCCAGTCGGTGGAAAGGAGTAAGGCACTGTAATCCGAGACTGGTAGAATGCCATATGTGGTCTTTTAGCATTGTGGGGCAGAGAAAGAATGAACCCCTCCACCAATTTATAACAGTACTAGAAAATGGTCCACAAAAGGTTAAACTTTACTGAATTGTATTAGAGTGCTGTCTAGCATTGCTGAAAAGCAAACTATTTTGCAGTTGATGAAGAGTTATCCAGCACTGGCAGTGGAGTGAGAGAGTATCTTCCTTCTCCCTCAGCAACAATTCAGAGACAAAGGGAAAAGACACATGAGAATTTCCTGCAAAGAAAGCCCCAGCAGGCACAGACCTGGAAATGCCAGCAACAGCATTTAGAGTTTTGGAATAAAGACAGTCACTTGCCACATCTTTCACCTTTCCTTTGATTAAAGCAGAAAAATGGCATTCAACATAATGCCATAAACTTTTGCTTATCTCATATAACAGATGTTCCTATCCCCTTGTTACCTATTCTATGTCAGTGGTTAGTCACTAAAACAAAAGGCAACTGTAAGAGTGTCATACATCACACTCTTAATAAAATGACTTGATTGACCTAAGGGATTTGTTGATATTGACATTTCGGTCTCATTTTTCACATCAGAATACAACCCGAGTAATGAATTAAATTGTGTCAAACTGAAAAATTAAACTAACTAACATAAAACTGACTAGGACCTTTGTTTGACAACTCTATTGTTATCAGTATGTGAATCAGAAATTCAATTCTCTTTATGAAAAAAATCACCTTTATTCCCTCCAATTTCTCCTGTGGAATCCTTCCTTTCAACATCAGGGTCTTCAGAGCTTTCTAAAAAATATGTGTGAAGGCACATTAATAGTGCACAGATGTAGCTACATTTATTTCAACTTTAAATAAATCAAAACAGTTAAAGTTTTAATAGATAAAAACAACTCAAAATTCAGAAAGCAGATAGAAAGTAAAAAATGTTTCTTAAAAGTTTTTAACAGAGTATTTTAAAAATACAAGTTATTCAGTAATTGCATTGTAAATAAATGTTTGGGCACCTTAGTTGGCAAATGCCTTGATTTGGGTAAATAGTTCTATGATAATCAATCTAATAGAAAAATATTTTATCAATAATTTCTCATATCATGAAAATAATGAAGGAAAAACCCCAAAATTTCATTGCATTCTACTTTGATATAAAAGAATTGTGATGTCTTGTATCTGGTTTTTTACTTGTCACTAGAAAAAGTTTCTTACAGCTATGCAATCCAGTACAGTCTGACATTGCCATCACCAGAGACACAGTCCTGTTTTGCTGACTGCTGAAAAGAGTTCTAAGTTACTGTTAGAAACATGAAGCATAATCAAAGATATTTTATCTGAATGACAGTAAGATAATACTACTCTTCTAAAAAACAAGTAATTTTACCATAACATGACTTCCCATCTCCTTGTAGATTATTTGGGCATGGACCACAATGGTAAGAACCAAAAGTATTGAAGCAAAATACTCCAGGGAAGCAAGGACTGGATGCGCATTCATCTACATCCTCTTGACAATGTTCACCTGCATTAAAATACAGATTCAATTTTTCTATATTATTGTCTCACTTGAATTTGATGGCATATTTATAAAAGTACAATGTATGCAAGTGCTGAAGTAGGGAAAAAAACATGTATTGTTTCAGCACATCTAATAAGAACAGCTGACTAGGTTTGCAATTCACATTTTTTACATCTTATATTAAGTATCTTCTTTATTGCAGAATATGGAGAAGATGGGCTGTGGGAACTACATGTTTATCTGCAGGAGAAATCACACTGTAACCAAACTCATCATTCCTGTGATTCTCCATATTGCTGAGTTTATCTTTGTGAAGAAAAACAATTGAAATTTGTTTTCATAGTAAACTAATATAAACATCCATTGTATTCATGCAAGAAAAATCTTGAAGTATACCATATGTTTTTATCACCAGACCACAAAATTTCTTCATAATCTAACAGTAAGCTATTTATGGTCAAAAATTAAAAAATAAAATTGCAGACATAAAATTAGAAACTCCTATTTATCACTAAACGTGATAAATGTGTGTAAATAAAGTAGTAATTTACCTTGAAGTTCAGGTGGACATTCACAGTAATAGCTGTTTATTCCATCCACACATCTGCCAACACCACACTGGTTAAGTCTACAGTCATCAGTATTCCCTTCACAGAGATCACCTTCAAATCCAGCCACACACACACAAAGATATCTTCCACTTCCAGGTGGGAAATTAATGTTTGTCACACATGAGCCATTATTTAGGCAATCACATGATTTTACACTGACCTACAAGACATGCCCAATAAGACAGTTTTCTATATTTTTAATGAACTAGTAATGAGTTCTGTAATTAGATATCTTAAACATCTTACTAGTAGGTGTCATTCTACTGTAATATTCATTACCTCTATTTCTACCTTAGTTGTTGCATTGCAGTCATCTGTCAAAGAAAATGTTAATTTATGGAGATTCGTTGAGGCAGCTTTCCACAAAAGGAGACCTGATGGGGAAAGACTGGCACCTTCTGGACCAGAATCCAATGTGAAATGAATAGCAGAGCCCTCTGGATCTGAAGCCAAAAACTGATATACAAAGTCTTCTCCATAAAAAGTCTGTAGCATAACCTGAGAAGTTTCAAGGACCGGAGGCTGGTTGTCTGTAACAAAAGAGATGTTTCCATCTTTTAAGCAAAAGTTACAATATACTTACAAAAATTAAAAGGATTATATCTTTCTATTAAGGAAGTTACATGCAATTGTTTCTCTTAAATTCTAATGCCATTTGTATGGTACAGAAAAAGCACTTGATATTTTCATTTAACTATAGCAACATGACAAAGAAATTAATTCTACTAAGCAAGAGCTCGTAATGCACTGCATCTGTACAACAACAACAAAAAAGAATTTATGGAATTTAACCACTGTATTTTAACTATATGACTATAACATGGAAATCCCTTGTCTTCCTGATTGCTGGATGAGTTTCATTTCATTCCTTTATTTCAGGTTTCATTCTTTTGAAATAGGTATAGCTACAATAGCTTTCAGTAAAAGTTTGAACGAGGATTCACCAAGACAGGCACCAGAAGTCCCATTCAATCAAGGTAGAGTCTTGCCAGCACATTCATACACATAAACACCAATGGAATATACAAAATCTGAGCCAAAAGAACTACAATTTCTAGTCTATAACTTTATACTATGGAAAAGGAAAATCTTAGGTCTTCTTTTCATAGTGTGGTTTCTAAATGGACTGAAGTATGAAAACTTTGGATACACTTTCAAGTATTTAGGCCTTGTATCTATGCCACTGATGTAGATGATGTCCACATATTAGGGGGCTAATAAATATGACATGTCATTTGATTCAGTTTGTGATCTCCACCTGTTTGGTATCAGAATAATTTTTTTTAAGTACTTTTTATATCAATATGTTGAAGACAAACATATGTGTATGTAGTTTGCTAAATACCAAAAGACTTCAAAATGCCCATTAAACTGAAATTTGTTAATTTTCATTAGTTATTTGTAAATAGTTAAAGCCAAACCATCACTATTTCCATAAATATAAAACTGTAGTAGACTTTCAACTTCTTGGTATTACAAAAGAACTATTTAGAACTTACTTTCAACGACTGACCAAGTTAACTTTGATGTGTCAGGTCTGCAGAGTAAGCAAGGGCTGGTTGGATTTGTGTCTCCTTCAGCATAACAGAGTCCATCTATGTTGCATGTTTTCTCCTTTTAGAGAAATAAAAATGTGATTCAATTACATTTTTTGTTATCAAATTGGTTATGAATTTGTATAGCATCAAATAAAATCTAATAATTCTGCACTTTCATTAAGCAACTAAGCTTCTTTTTAAATATAATCAACTGACGGTAAGTTTGGTTTTATTTGGTAATTATATGAAGTGCTTTTGGTTTGATTCTTTACATTTAAAATTGCCTTATCTCAGCTTGTCTTTCTGTGCATATCATTTCTGTGCATAGAAAATCCCTGTTGGAAAGAAGAACAGGGTACATTCTGCTGATTTTTCGACATTTTTTTCTGCCTGAAAAAAATAATTTTATTCATAATGGAGAGTAGTGAAACACATACCTTTAATGTACATAACCCAGATTCTTGTGATTCACATGTCTGACAGGCTCCATCATATAATATCATTGTTTTAGAGTTGCTATAGATGAATCCATCATTAGAAATCTGCAAGTTGTACAGCAAAAATGGATTAACCAATACAGGTATCAATAGATCACCAGTGTGGGCTGCTGACATGAGCTTCCACTTATTAACAGACACCTATATTTAGGTATTTAAACTCTCACAACAGTCATCAGAAATCTAATCAAACCTGCCCATAAGTCTAGGCAGATATTTGACCAGCCACATGTAGGTGTCTATTTTAGGGTAAGTTGATTAGTGTGTACACTCTCTTGACCTTACTGACTCAATCTCTGTGAGAGCTCTGATATCTGCTTCACACAGGGATTAGTACATATAGGCTGGGCTCAATTCAATTCTACCATAAATGTACCCAATGTTATTTGAAATGCTCTAGGGTAACTTCCACTCCTGAAGAACAAATGTCTCTGTAGGACCTAGGTCATATCTACAGTCCCCCTGAAGGAGAACACTCTCAAATGACACTCAACACTTCAGCTTAGGTGATGAAACTGAGACCCCCAAGTTAGGCAAGCTGAGTTCCACCTTTAGTACCACTGAAAAAAGAGTAACATCTATGTGATATATTTCCATCTTACTCGTAAGAGAATATTTGAAAGTCCTGTAAGTACCTTTATTTGCCACATGGCAATGGGTTTATCATCAACCACATCCATGACATCAGACTGCTGGCCATCATTTGGTAATTGGCAGTCGACTGTCCTGGCATTTTGGAAGACAGCTGGCATAGTCAGAAGTTCTCCAGGAATCCATTGTTTATTACTATACTAAACATTAAAACAGAAAATCTGTTTTTCAGTGAAGCACATCATGAAAATATTTTTATCAGAGAGAAAAAACACATGTATTGTACAGTTTTTGAACAAGTCTAATATGTCTGGATTAGAATGTGGTGGCAAATATTAAATGACATTATTTGCACACACAGATTTTTAGCTAAGCCTGCTACTGTGGAAGAAAGGCAGAGAAGCCTTTGCTGACGCACAGTCCTTTGGCACTGCATTGTCAAAGACAAATTCTTCTTCCAACTGGAGAGTAATAGGAGGGTTAAACAGTGGGTGGTCCTGCAACAGCACTGATCTGACGTGCGAGTGCCTCTGTCACACTCCATCTCTGCTCCCATGTGAGGACAGGCTTTAGTCGAAGGAACAGATGAGGTTTTTGGCAGAGCTCAGGTATCATTCTGGGTGCTGGGGGAATACTGGCACTGAGCCTTTTATCCCTTGTACAGGCCAGTAGATTTTCAATAGAATAAGACGCCATTGACCCTGCAGACTTTTCTTCTAAACTGAGCTGAAGACAAGTCATCCAAGGATCCATCTCGAGAGCTTAAGGTAACAGAATAAGGATGATAATACTGTTTGACTGACGTATTGATGTGGAAGTAGGAATAAGCATATGAAAAATAAATAAAGTTAGATGGAAGTAAGAATCCAGACAGACTAAGAATCAAGAGAACAGAAAGTAAAAATAATTTTGAGCTTGACTAGGTTTTACTGAGCTGGCACATTTTCTAGTTACTGAAGCCAATTGAGACATTTATTCAATCCCCGTCCTTACACAGGTGTCACCTGCAGTATAGGCCTTTGTGGGGGTTTTTTGTTTGGTTTTTTTTTTAAAGACAGAAAATTAAACACTTTTGCTAAAAAGACATATGAGCTATCTTTGTTCCAATCAAACATTTTGTTTTTCTTTCACCCTGTATTCAAAGAATTCACAGCAAGGGTAAGTAAAAGTATAAATGTTAAATATTTCTAAATATAAAAATTTGAGTGCACTTAGTACTGTAACCTTTGAAAAGTGATACAGTCTATTTCTCCAGAAATCTTTTGTTATTACCTGGAGGCAAGTTCAGATAATTTTTTCAGAAACAGATTAACCTTTCAAAAACCAATTAAAAAGCCTTCAGATCTACTAGCATTCCAGCTCATTAGGTTCATAGAAAAACTTACTTCTGGGAACAGAAGGAAGTAAATATTTTCATTTTGCAGAGGTTAAACACACTCTCATGCCTTACATTTAAATTCTGTATCTCTGCAGTCATAGCTTGCTGGCCATGTCCAACCCAAACCTCTATCAAATTTCTACCATAAAGTAGGTAAGACAGTCCACGGACCACAGATTTGATCTAAAATTTCAAAAGTGGAAATACTGAAACTAAGAAATTCTAAGTTCCATCAAAATGCCTCACATACAAAATTTTAATTGTTTAAGTTCAGTCTCAAAATACAGGGAGTTCTGTTGCAAGTCTATTGACATTTCCATAAATTCACTATTACTCCAGCCTGGAAAACTAAACAAAACAACCTCCTCCACTTCCTTTCTTCTGTATTCTCAAGGAAAAAATTCACAGCCTTCTCCTCAACTGCAGCTAACAGCAGTCAGCTGGCTCTTGTCAGTGAAAAGATCATCACTAAAAGTGATTAAATAGAAAGTTTCTGTAGTTGGGAGCCAAGTACACCACCTAAAAGAGAGATTCCAGAATATCTTGCCACAAGTTAAAACTGAGATATTTCAAACTGTGATAAGTGAATTCCCAATAATTGACTTACTGTGAGAGTGGTCTAAAAGTCTTCTAACCTAATGGAGTGTAAACTTACTCTCGACTATCATTTCAAGCCATCTTGAGTGGATACATGTTGAGTTTAAGAAAAATCTATAGCCAGTATTGCTTATTCTGTCAAAATAATTTTAGCATCTGCTGGAACTAGCTAAGAAAACCTTTGGTCTCAAGAACAAAATCTGCCATTGAATGCTTCCCCTTTTGCCAACTCTCACCCCCTCCATCATCACATCAATGAAACACAGTTTTACTTTGAAGCTTTTTCTGTTCTCGTGTATAACACAACATAAAAACTTGTAATTGCTGATTGCTTATTCCAGGCTAAAACTTGTAAACCGCTTATAAATTTGCCTTGAGCAAATTCTAGGTCTGAATAACAACAGTCTCTCTATACAGATTCCCCTTAGTTTAGTGTGCAACATTTACCATGCAATTTTTTTAATTTCCTGTTCAAATCTGGGGTATAGAGCTGACGTATACCATTAAATAGCCATGGTATTCTACCTCAGGGAAATGGACAACATATCAAAAATGTCTTTGTCTTTTCCTAACAGATTTATAAAGGGCTATTTCAAGCATTAAAATTGAGGCAGAAATCCAGTAATGTCTTTAACCTTGCTGTCCTTTTTCAAAGAAGTGGTACTTGAATTCCTCTCCATAAGCACTTAAAAAACTGAACAACGATGTACTGGTTGTTACTAACAGGGTTGCCCTTGCCCTTTTCTGATGGATAGCTGCCCTATGCTGTTATCTCCCTCTCAGCTGCTGAACATTCCCATTATGTTTTGTATTTCTCTTATCATGGAGGAAATGGCAATATTGCAAAGAATTCAGTGTCTGCTGCAAAGCGCTGAGAGCCTTTGCATTTAGCTTTGACTGAAGCACTGGGTTGTACCCACATCAATGAATAACATGCTAGACATTTTGTCTCTCGTTCTACAAGAAGTTTAAAATATATTTGTCACTATTCAGGGAGACCTACTTGCAATTTGATGATTTCACATTTCAGATTCAATGACTCCCTGAAGCCATGTCCAAAAACTCTCACTGATGTGCAGTCATACTGTCGAATATTACACAGCCCAGCATTCTCCAGCTCTGTAATTTCTGGAACCTGGTCTTGGAAGTAGAGATTAGACAATAAATGCCAGCATATTAACTCATTAATATGCATTTACATTAAGCAATATGTTTAATTTTCTATCCAACTAAGAAAACTATGTAAACAATGAAATCTAGACCCAGTTGAAAAAGGGCATAAACAGAAAGGTTTTTTTTATTGTTAATCTTAAATTTAAAGCTAGGCTTCTGTCTGCACTTAGACCTTGAATATTATGAAGCAGAGAAAATTCAACAGACAAGGAAGACTTGTGAATATGTGTTTTGCTTTCTCAACTACAACTCTTTACATCACATTGGCAGAATAAAATCAAAATGAAACTCAGGCCCTAGTAATAGGAACTGGAAAGGTGACGGTTATGTATTAATTTATAATTGGATTTTTTTTAATTGAAGACTAAAAAATATCTCAGGTGGAAGTTATTTCAGGAAATAACGTGACAAATTAGAACACTCAAAAATAGTTTTTATGAAGTAAAACCATCTTATTTGACTTCAAGAGGAATAAAATATTTCTTTTTATAGAAAGAATTTCTCCTTCACTATTTTCTTTTAAGTAGGTCACTAAAACAAAAACACCACTGCAAAAGAAAATATTAGCAGGTTTTATTTTGAAAGAGTTTTGAGTTTTGTAGTAGTGTTCATATTTTTCCAGTGTACTTACTTAACTGAATTTTTAGTGACTGTCTTACTTCTTGAAAATTTTAAAAATCCTGCCCAGCTCTACTTATCATATCTATTTTTTTCTTCACTATTGATTCTAATCCCATCACATCTAACAGTTATCTTACAGAGATGTAACATCACCAAAGAGAAGCACATCCCACTTACAGATCCTGTTAGTAAACAGGATCACAGAGACTATAAAAAAATTGGGAAGGGAGATCTCTGAAGAAGACAGCGTGTGGAAACATCGCCAGTGTCTTGGGGCAATCCTCTGGATTGCAAACTGACCAAGTGGTAAACTTTTTAAATCTGACGTACCAGAAAGTAAGCCCATGTTTTGTCCTTTGGAAACAAGAAGGCTGAATGGAAAATAATTATAGCTGCAAGTAAATTACTGGGTAATGGACAGGGCCACCACTGGGAACCTTTGTGTTCATACGAGGCAGGAGAGAAAAATACATGTATGTCGCATGAACACTGAGAAGATTATTTAGGTAAATCTCCTTTTTTCCTCCCACTTACCAGACAGTATGCTGCAGTCATACGAGCTGTAGCCTTGAAAACATGCACAGCCCCATTCTGTACATTCCCCATTACCACTGCAGAGACTGGGACACTTCAATGCAGTAAGCAGGCTCTCAACTGAGCCTTCAAGTTCCTGTGGGTTGTAATTTATTTCTTCTAAAATTCTTCTCTCACATTCATTCTCCAGAAGAGGTAAGGAAGCTTCTGCCCAACTGAGGTCATCTTTCAGCAGCAAATCTTTAACGCACATATCGACTGCATCCTCTGTTCGCCGACCAAGAAGGGCACCACAAGATCTTCCTATGCTGGAATTAGCTATTGCCTGCTGGCAGAGTAGCCAAGCACTAGACTCGGTGAGGCCTGAAGGTGTGGGCCAAGAAGGAAGGAACTTCTGGTCTGTGTCAGTGGCATGGTCCTCTGGGAAAAAATAACTATATTCCTCTAAGTCTGTTTGGCTGAGACTTTGGAATAGGAATACTGGATGGTATTCATAATAATTCTGACGCTTCCCTCTACTTGTAACTGACAGCCTTTTGAGAGGATGACTACTGTAATGCTGAGAATTTTTTCTAACGCCTGAGCTTGAACTTCCTTCTCTTTCTATACCAGTATTTGTCACTGAGGTTGCTAAGACATGTGAGTTTACTGATGATGTTTTGTGAAGTTTGGTTTGATTACCCTCCCTCTGAAGAAGTGTAGATGAATCCATTTCATTTGCAGATGAACGTTTCTTTAAGCCTCTGACAAGATCAATAGGACCAAGATACTCAGCAGTGACATCCAGTCCTGGTATTAAAGAAAGAAATCTACCATTTTCACTTTCTTTACAAGACAGAGGAAGTTCTGACTGAGAAGCTGTCTCCAGTTTGTTCACTGAAGGATATAATCCGTCATCTTCAAGTGCACAGTCACAGAAGACTACTTTTCTCGAAGATGTTAAAGAAACAGGTGTTTTGTCAAACAAGCTATCTCCTGGTAAAATTCTAAACAAGAAAGAAAAAGATGAAACTGTACCATCTGAACTATCTTCATTGTGTTACTAAAGTGTTAACTTTTTGTTCTTTGTTGTTCCACACTTTTACATCATGTCACTGAATCTGCAGTTATATTTAAAGACCAGTTAAAACACAAAACCTCGAGAATAACTTATAATAAAAGAATTGAGATGAGTGGATATCCTTGTATACTTTGATACTTTGTTCAAAACATAATCAAACTAATCTTACATCATAATACCTAAATACTTATTTGGTACTTCAGTTTCAATTTTCTCTTAAACTAATTATGGAATGCATTGATACGTTCTAACATTAACTTAAAAACTTAAGAAGATCACTTTTTTTTTAGTACTGTGACAAGTTTTTAAGAGTCTGAAGGAAAGGTAGAACCAAAAATTATGACACTTGATTTAAACAGAATAATTGTTACCTCCACTCCTTAATAAAAGAAAAAAGAGCATTAGCATGATTTGGGATTTCCGCCCCACTTGCAGTGTGATAGTCATTCTCCACAATTCCATCAAAGGTGCCACAGAGTCCCACTGTATGCCTGTAATCTGAGCTGGGGGCCCTAAGCGTTATGCTTATTCCCCATTCACTCACATCAGCACGAATGAAAGCTCCAGAAGAAAACAAAACCTAAAAAGGAGTTGAAGATATCATCATGAGAAACATGATTTTTAATTTTTCCTATTCCGTAAGCATTATTTACCACTTACTGTTACTTTTCTTCCTAGGTAGGATTCAGTGACTCTGACATTGCTTCCTGTTGTGTCTCTGTTTATTACAGATAAGTGTGGCTGTGATTCATGCAGCTGACCACTGCACATGTCAAATGCAATTATATCACTTCCTTCCTTGGCAACAAAGCCACAGTTGCAGGATGCTGGGTAGTGAAGACTTCCACAGTCCCACTGGCGAACATGAACTTCAAAATCTCGAGATGTACTCTTATAGAGAACAAATGTTCCTGTTTTAAAATTGTCATAGACTCTAGAATCAAAAGAATAGCATAGGGTATCACTTTGGTTATAATCACCACGTCAGCAACTTTATCTTCAAACAGATTTCTAATATTTGGTGAACTTTGATAATGCAACTCATTTTCCTGAGTCAGAAAAAACAAACAGTACAGCCCACAGACCAACACACAACTTATCCTGAACAAACACCAATCATATTTTCCTCTGTGCAGACCTAAATCAAAAAAAACCAAAAAAAAACCCTTATTTTTACACCAGAAAAATAAGGAATAAAAGAAGTATCATACAATGAGTTGAGTATATGTAGACAATGGCTGTGAATGGAAACATAACCATGAAGCCTTTGATATTCTTTGATTATTTTTTTTAACACTGCACGTGACAGGGAACTGGAGGGTACTTCTCAACCTTTCTGTTTCTACAACAGCACACCTATGCAGAAAGAGCAATAAGACGCACAGCAGGGTGCATGTGGGGGCAGCTGCTGAAAACTGCACAAGTACCCTTGACAAAGTGATTTTGAAAGTCACATCTTTTTTAAAAAGGTCTGCTTTATTAAGATGGAGATGGGGAGGGCTTATTCCCAAAGATTATTTAAAATGAAAACCATAAATAGCAACTTGCTCTTTTTCCTTAGGGTTGCCATCTGTCCCCTGAAGCAAGGTTAAAATAGCCAATTTAATGATTCAGCAGCAAGACAGAAAAAGAAGAAAGAATGGAAAGAAAACCCCCAAACTTTTGCTGGGAGTTTAACAGCCTCTTGGCTATAAATGGCATTTGATAGTTAACAGTAGACTGGCAATTTGCTTTGTGTATAATGGGCCAGCAGACAAACTGCAGATGGCTGCCCTACTGGGACTGCATAAGATTGTCTGTGATTCAGTGCAGACAGTTCCTTTTCTACTTGTTTCATCAATTTAATTGTAGTAACATAATTTATCCTTACAAAGGAAGTTCTTTCCCTGCAGCATCATACTTCCCGACAGACCACATCACAGTAAAACACTGCTTCACAAGGAAGCTTGATCACAATGCATCCACAGTTAAAATGCTCAGTGAAGACATCCCTAAAACTTCTACTGAAGGAGAAACTGCAAGATCAGGATAACTCCATTGAGTTTATTAATATTACTAGTCACAGTTCTGTCAGAGAATCAATCACAACCTTCATTTTTCCTTCTGTTATCAAGTTCACAGAAGTGAGGTTGTGGTCTGAACATTCTTATTTGGAGGCAACATACCCTCTTCTTCTCACCCTGCCACTTGAAGAAATGTGCTTCTACTGAACAGAGAATATAAAAGTCACAGGCTTGGAGCATGTGTTTGTTCAGACATCTTTTGTGAATCAGAAACACTTTGAAAGAAAGAAAGAAGCATAGCAAAACCACAACAGCTGTGTCCAAAGAAACTGTCTTCACTTCAAAAAGAAGGCCAGCGACGTGCAAGTGACAGTACTGAATAAGTGCTGTGAATGCCACTATTGCTTTCAATGCCACTAATAAACTCAGCAAAATGCTACACAGACAGTAGATAGCTTCTAGGAAGTTGATCCTCGCAAGGATTCAGATACTGATACACAGAAATGGGGAAACTATGCTGTTGATTGGAAACACCTTTGCATCAAAAGTTTTGTCTAATCAATCATTTTATCATGGTTCATATATGAGCATTCCTATCTTTTATGATCAACAGACTGCACAGCATCCTCTCCTCTCTTGTCATACGGCCCTAGAAAGCAAAATAGTCCATTTGCTTCATTCTCTTGCCACAACCCCAAAACTTGCCTTTAGAAATGCAAATATTACAAACCTCATCATAACTGGCAAGCTTTTTTTAAAAACTGAAGCACATTTATCCTTATTGTCAAAAAAACCCCAAAGAAACTAAACTCAGTGCTGTTACAGAAAACTTCATCTGACTTGTATCACCAGCACAGATTTAAAACAAATATATAAATACTTAAATAAATGAAAGAGCCCACCAAAACCACCCACAAAAAATCCCCATATGCTTTAAGTTAGGAGCATTAATTCAGTAATTACCTTCCATCAAATGTAATTATATGAGGATCAGTAAATGAGTAGCAGTAGGCAGTGGGTAGATCCTTAACTGTAATCTTCAGAACAAAGTAGCAAATAGTAAGCCATGTCAGATTTAGAAATAAACAGACTCATGTATATAATTTATCTCAGGATACTAGTTTACATTCTAATATATGTATTATATTATACTTTTAATCAAACTGAGTAGTTATATCACTACTAAAATGTCAAAAAAAAAAAAATTCAAATGAAAACACAGAATTTAAATGAAAATAAAACAAATTAAAATTGACTACTTAGAAATCTTGGTGTGAGTCAGGAAGTCATGACTGAAATAGAAACTTCATTAACATCAGCCATACTTCTGGCCAGTTAATAGAGCTTAACATGAAGATTTTTAACCTGTATGCTTTCTGGAACATAGCCATTCCACAGGAAATTCTCACTGGATATAGGCTCAACTGCAATTCTGGTAATTCTGTCTCCATCCTGCATGAAGTCTGTCACAGCAGTGAAATAAATTACAGCTTGACTACAGATTCCATTATTGCAGGGTTTCTGGAGAAGATCCACATGACAAGAAGAAAGAGCCAAGTTTAAACCGAGCTGCTCTTTACCTGTTTTAAAGAAAATATATAGTGAATTTTTCCTCTAAATAAATCACATGTTTTATACTACTTTTAATATAGATAACTTTTTTGCATAGTCTTTCATAAATTAAAATAATTTATCCATTTTTCTTGCATTTGGTCATGCACAACCTCGTCTCTACACCTTCATACACATGCCCAAGAAATTGCTCTCGAATTTCCCTGTTTGATAGACTAATGGAAATCATAGTAGGTTTGCTAATGTGACATAAAAATGGCCGTCTGCAAAGGCAAGGCTCCTCCTGTTCACGGGACTTGTACTTGAGAAAGTACTAGGGAAAATGGTAATAGCAAAAAATGGGGACTTTGCTATTGCATATCTAGTACTTGGAAAACAACAGGTAAACAAAATTAACTGAATTAAACTTTGCAAGTATTAAAGTATTCTGTCTATTCAAGTTAAAGAATGTGGGTCTGATATCAACAGCTGTCATAAACCACTTAATTTCAACCAGTAATATGGACACGCTTTTCCATACTTTCAGCAGCATCATATACAGCCTGTGAATACTTTAACATTTTAGAAAGTATTTTACACTGTAATAGCTTCTCCAAAGAAAGATATCAGCAAGAATATTTAGAAAAATATATTAAACATACAAAATGAAACAAAATCAGTTTAATACTTACCTTCATCAACACTATTTAATGTTAGTGAGATTTTGCAGTCACTTTCAAGCTGGCTAAACTCAGGACAAGGAATAGGAATGCTACTTTCTACTGTCAGTCTGTATTCCTTCCCATCTTCTGATATATCATATGTTTCTGGACGTATCTAACACAGAAGAAACTTTACTTAAAATGCATCATTTGTGAGTAAACTGAAGCACTGCTTATTAACCAGCTAGGAGTGCTTGTTTACATGGGCTGAGCAGCAGCAGCACATTGGAGAAAAGATGTGGACACTACAGACTGAGTCTTAAAGAGGTGGGAAAAGGGGCAAGGATAAGGAAAAGGCAAGAGTAAAGGCCAGATAGAAGGGTAAGAAACGAACAAACCACATTAACCCCACAAAAATGTATTCTCCATGTAACCCCTGGAAGCTAAGATACAGTTTGGTGTACTGTCTTGGGGGAGTGGGCAGGGAAATGGAGGGAAAGTTACCTACAGGCAACAATTCCCAAAAGAGTCTGGAAGCACCATATTTCTCCTGGGATTCTTCTCCATAAGCTTACAATACAGCTTGCTAAAGATGTATAATCGAAAATGCAATAAGAGATCAGTAACAGAGGCCCACAGCTGAGCTTGGCACACTGGGTAGAATTCTGAACTCAGACTCACAGGGAAACAAAAATAACACATTGGCCCTCAGCAGTGTACACTGCTACACTTCCATGAGATAAATCTGGGCCCTGATCCTCCAGAAACATAATCTCAGGCTAAGTCAATAAGACTGTACCCAACATGTAAGGACATGCAGTATGTCTTTCCTGGACTGGTGTCCCATTCATGGCCAGAGAATGGCTCCCTATAGCTGTATCCACAGTAAAAACTCACAGATCATGTCCCAGCTTCCCTCTTTAAGCCCAGACCAGGTTGGCCTCATCTTCCCTCACTCCTACAGACAGCTGGGAAGAGGGCCCAGCCTAGACTGTCCTGTCAGTCACATGCTGGGAGAGCCTGTTGGCACATCATGCCAGAAATGGCAGCAGCGTTAAACTAATGGACAACAGAGTCCCTAGGCTCAGGTCTGAGCTGTGGCCCTCCACATTTATAAATACAGTGCCAGATTTGGCTCTAGCTGATGTAATCCAAGGCTTGCACTGCATGTGCAAGGTGCCAATTCAGCCTTCCTGCACCTTGAGTACATGAAGAGCACAGAAACCATTGTGACTCTTATGCTTTTTGACAAATTCAAGGTTCACCTCAGCTGACATCATGCTCTATTAATTCACAGTTAATACATTTTAAGAGCCTTCTAGTCAGAGGAATGACTGCTATAGCAATACTCAAAGATTCCTGCTCCGATAAAGTAAAGCATTATGGTTTTTTTAAATTACCTTAATTCCAGCAAAAAATTCCTTGCTCTCAACTGAAGAGCTTTGTATATCTGGCTTCTCCATGAAAAAAGCAGAACTGCTACAGTAGACCTATAGGGCAAAACCAGCATAATAGAAAACATTTGTGGTATGAAATGGTCAGATAAAGACAAAACCCAGCCACCGTGGGTCAATGGATCCATCAGAGCCAGTCTTCTGGTTGCACCAGAAGTTAACAGTTGCCAGTGGTAATTGGTAAACATAGCATAGAAAAAAAATAGAAACAGATCAAGCTGCTTAAGACCTTTTCCTGGCATACACTACCAGTGGTGCAGAGACTTCTTGAACTAAAAGCTGCATATAAATCATCCTATTTAACGAACAGGATGTCTCTGTCTCCAAGTCTGACGTTTATTGCATCTACTTCTAGAAGTAAGAAGGTATGAACGGCTGTTTCATGTGTAAGTTCTTCTTTGATACCTTCAGGAGAAAGTCTTGACCAATGTCTCCTCAGATTTAAAAAGCCTTTTCTGGAGCATTTCTGCAATCCATGACATCTTGTAAAAATGCATTCTACAGCTCGATTACATGTTATTTACTTCTTTTTTTCCATTTCACATTTCTTGCCCTTTAATTTTGTTTAGTGCCCATTAAGTCTCAGATTATGCTTTTCTGATGTTAAGGGCCTGGATAATCTTTTTCAAGATGATGAATTCACTGTGATTTCCCTCCACTGAACCAGTTCCCTCCTACTAGACACTATGGTTTTGCTTTGGTTTTGTGTTTGGCTTTTTGTTTTGGGTTTTTTAAATTTTGTTGTATCCATTTTGAGATACATTGGCCACACATGCAATATTTCCAATCCTGAAAAAACCCACAGATTCATAACAGCAGCAGGTAACTTATGACTGTGCCTTTCCTTTTGACTGTCACTGAAGTCCGTGAATGATTTTTGAGGATTAACAATTGCTATTGTTGTGCATAAGACATCCAAGCTGCCTGTCTTTGGCTTGAACATACATATGCACACCAACCACATTTTTTTGTTTTTATTTTGGCCAGGAAAAATAACCTGTATTTTGTATATATAGTTATTGATTTTTCCAATGCTTAAGCTTCTCCAAGTTACTATGAGAGCCTATGTCTTGATTCTGCTACCATGGAAGGTAAGGCAGGTTCTCACACTGGCTTAATTTCTGATGGCAGAAATTAAACCATTTAAATCCAATCCTAGAGACAAAACCATTAAGCAGCAGCTCATTATTGATTTAGAGAAAAAAATCTATCTAATGAATCAACAACACAGTTTCTCACAACCTCTGGCTCTCTTATAGCCTCTCATTGAGATGCAGTTGCTTCCAAAAATCCTCCTAATTTACAGTATCAAAGAAAAATCACAGTACAGGGTGAAGAGGAGGCAACGTGAATAAAAACTAACCTCCTGGATGCACACTACACTGTATTGAGTCAGTCTCAAAACCTTAAAGGCAGTGGTAATTACTGATATATTCTGTGGTATTTACACATTCATATGGGCACTGTCGGTGTAGACAAGTAGAGGCAGTAGGCTTCTGCCAGGAAAAATTATACAGCACAGTGCTGGACCTCCCTCTGATAATTTTTGTGTCTACTGGACCATATTTACAAAGATACAAAGAAATTATAATTAAGTTTTAACATACTCTGTCTCCAAGTCTGACGTTTATCCCATCTAGTTCTAGAAGTGAGAAGGTATGAACTGCAGTTTCGTGTGTAAGTTCTTCTTTGATACCTTCAGGAGAAAGTCTTGACCAGGTTACAATGAATCCAACAGAGCTGTTTGCAGAAGGAACACCAAAGGTACACCTTAAGTAAATGCTGCCTTTGATCATCTCTGCTACAACTTCAGGAACCAATGGCAGTGGTGGTGACACAGGTGGAGCTGATGTAGCAGCCAGGTTACCTAGTTCAAACAGAAGTGTGGTTTGTGCTTTTCATACTGTGCAAAATCAGTATTGGATAAATTGACACTGACATACCTTTTGCTAGTTAATAGACTAATAATATTTACCTTTTTCATATGTGGAAATATTATATAATTTCATAAGAGAATCAAGAAAAATGTGTATCTTCCTTTTATTAATTGTTAAATGGAGAAAAACTCTTTATGAACCTTTGATTATATTCTAGCCAATAGGAAGGTGCTAAAGAGACGGCAAAAATTAAAAAAAAGACAATCCAAAAACATAAACAAGGGAATCAAATATAATTAATTATTTTACCAGATGGAAGAGCAACATGCAAAGGAATTTGCCATACAGTAGAATAATTTCACTACTTATGAAGAAAGTGGGGAAAAAAAAAGAATAAAGGAAAAAGAAAAGGAATACTTATAAAAGAACAGAATAAGCAACTGTAGATCTGCAGATTCCTCTTATATTTTATTTCCAAAGAATCAAAGTATCTGTAAATCAGCATTAGCACAATTACTTTTTAACGTTTTGGTACTTACTCAAAACATTATTCTGAGAAAGTATTTTTGTAATCCAGATTTTTCTGAAATTACTTACAAATTGCTCATTTTGAACAAGCCAAGCAATACTTGTTGATAACATCAACGTGTTTTTATTCAAGACAGAGTATGACTAAATGTTGACATTATTGGGTCACAGATGCACGGAAAATCTTGAAAATCAAACCAAAATACTTACTGCTGCAGGCACCTTGAAATTTCATTCCCTCAGGATCACATGTCTGTGGCTTTGCATCTGAAATAACCATAAACTGTTCTTACATCTTATATTCACACACATACAGCGTATGTGCTCCGGTGCTCTTAAAGTATTGCCCTATATTAAAAATACACCAAATTTCACAAAACACTAATTGAAGTGCAAATTTGCAGAACAGAGGCAATCCTGTAATCTGATCCACATATAACTATGGCAGCAGTCAGTATAAAGGCTTGTGTTGGAAATCACCTTGGAGGGAGGGAGGGTAGAGAACATTCTACCACCTCTGCATCTTTTACTACTGATGTACTCAGCCAATACTTATAGATGTTGTTACTGAATAAATAGGAATTAAACTATTCTCTTGAATAAATATTTTCCCTCCCCAAATCCACATCTGAACACTTATTCATTAACTGCAATCCTGGACAGCCAAATTCAGTGCAGACCTGCTTTGAAAAAAAAATCCCCTTTCCTACAAAAACCTAAGAAAAAGTGCTTTTGCACTGCTATTGTTTTGCACTTTGAATGCTATAAAAAAAATAAGTGGAACTTTGCATTTGTAATAGGAGCACAAAGAGGTTAATCACTCCACTCAAACTACATACGAAGGGCAGCAACAACACTGAAAATCCCATTCACCAAAAAGAATGAAGACTATGCTGTTCCACACTTCACAATTGAATGTTTGAATTCCTTATCATGTAGAGGACAGTCTGTTCAAAAATGTGCATGAAGTGTTTACAGCTATCAAGTGTGAAAGATACAACACAGTACACATGGTAACCTGGATACAAAAAGTAGCACATCAGTACAGCGCACTTCATGCAAAAAACATCATCTTAAATGAGTGCTTGTAAACTCAAAATGTGTTTCAGATTTACAGCATTCAGCAGAGCCAAATAAGAGTTATGCTTTTTGCCTCCTTTTTGTTTTGAGACAGTAAAGATTTGCTAGCTTATTGCCTCTCTGGTTTTATATCTTCCTTCTTCCTCTTCACAAGTCCTGAGCCAAAGTAAATGCAAGTCCTATTGTGCAGGAATTTTTCACTGTTTCAGTCACATGCACGCTGAAACCTTGGAGAATGCTTTAACAATTGGACCTAAAGATATAATGTCATATAATGCCATAATAATGGCCTAGACCACTAAGGCACCAGAAAGCCCACTGGTAGATTTGCTATTAAGCTTCTGAAAGCAGTCAGTAATAGAGACTATGACTCAGAGAATTACAGTATATGATGTATAAAAATATCACTAGTATTTTTACTATGGTACATTATAAGAACTACTAAGAACTTCCTACTGCATTAGTTTGTCCCTATTTCACAGTATTTCACAGTATAACTGTAAGGATTTAACCATGCCTTACTTATCTGAAAAAATCTGGCAGGAATAACGAAATACCAAAGTTTTGAGCTGTGAACACCAACACATTTCTGAAGCACAATGGTCCAAGACACCACGAGACATTGCAAAAAATCTCCATTTCTTTCTCAAACTACTAATAAAATGTGCATCAGTAAAGCATTTCTGTGTTATCTTCTAGCAACAAAGTGTAAGCTCTCCCAGAAAGATGATAAAAGATTTACAGTAACAAAAGTATTCCCAGCAATGCTAAACAATAAACACAGTCTAGTCAAGTTCTTAGACAAAGCTCACTCTGATACATAATTCTATGCATGCTTAGTAATGGGTATTTGCAGAGTATGAGTGTTACTATAGGTACGGTGACTTTTTATTTCCAGATGTGTCTTAAAACCCCATTTCATTATATGGAAAATTTCAATTCTTAAGTTTTTGAACTTTGAAAAATAGTTGAGTGCTACATGTAAGTTAAAAAGGGTTGAACTGAACCCACCTTATACATTTCAAATCATTCTTCTATTGTATCAATAGTAAAGGTAAGAACTGCAAGAAATTTTAGCAGAACTATTTTCTGACATTTCCACTAAGCCAAGTATCACACACTTAGCTGAATTAGAGCATGCATTTTCTCACCTTCAGCACAATAACCCATGCATCCTTGGGTGGGCTGCAGTAAGTAAACAAAGAAATCTCCACAGTTCCTCACCCTGACAGGGATTCGGAAAAGACAGCAGTCTTTTGAAGTGCTGAAGAAAAACTGCCATGTAGCACAAGCTGTTAACTGTTTGATCTCACCAGGTCGAGGCATGGATTCTGACTCCCTCAGAGACAGCCAGATAGGCGCTTGAGTCCCACAGTGATTCATCTTCACCATCAGAAAAAAAGATAAGAAAATGGTTAATGCTAAATCAAACTGTTGCTGCTAATCTCCTGGATTTCCTCTAAAAGATGTGGCCAACTAATGGCAAGGTTACTGATATACAGCCTGAGTTGAAAATGCAAGACAACTGAAAAGCCCCATCTGCCTTTCAATTTCTCATCTTTAGATGCAAATATGCTTGTTGCAACCCCATAACAATCACACTGACTTTGTAGCAACCCTAAATCCTTTGGTGTTTACAAAGGATGGACCATGGTCTGTAGTTCAGATGCTGATTCAACAGGTCATTTTAGCAGATTGTTGCTCCTTCTCTTGCAAGCAAAAGCTTTTTTCAGTGCTTTTCTTCATGGAGTAAGAAGTCTGCTGTGGAAAACTCTTCCTCACCCCTCACCACTATGGCTATGTCAGGTCTTCAGGTCAAGGAAGCTGCCCTGAAAGTCACAACTTCACAGTAGTACCAACCATGGTAAACAAAGTCTGATTTAACAGACACAAGAGTTTACCAGTGGAATGTAGAAAAATGAATCCTGAAGAGACAAAGAAGGAATCTGGTTCGTGGGTTACCAGAATGAGTTAAAGATCAGCTCCTGGCTTTCGTGTGCTGCTGAAAGCAAACTGAAGAGAAACAACTAGGGGAACATAGCATGTCAAAGCCAGCATTTGAAAAACATTTACATGAAAACTATAAATCTGAAACTGTGAGATTTTGAGAACCTTTTCTTCAGTCTTTGCCTCAAGTATTCTTTTCTTTGACCTGATAGTGCAACAAAATCAACTTGTCTATAGATCTCTTGGTATAAAGTCTACTGCAGACTCACTGAGCAATTACTTACCTCTAAATTAAGCTTTACTTTCTTAATCTATAACCTCTGAACCCACCATCAATCCATCAGAAAGACAAAATTAATAACAAGTACTCAGAAATGGGATGGATTGTTTAAGTCTGAATCTTTGACAAAGATTAAATGCAGCTATAATAAAAGTTTCCCAAAAGAAAACAAAGGAGGAAACTTCCTCAACAAGACATCCATTTTAGTTTGGTTTTAATGTTTTGACTCTGAGGTTCAAAATAAATGTTATGGTTTTGTCAACAGATGCAAAAAGGCAGATTTCAATGCACAAATTTAATTTGTTGAATAAGCTTTGAATCAATCTCTTTCCAACTGCAATTATCTGAGCTCCTCTGTGTTAGGATGGCAGCCTAGTTTTAATAATATTTACTAAGAACTGAGAATTTTAGTCAAATTTCTAAAACCTACCTAAATGAGACAAGTAGGTATTTTTCCTAACCTCTGTTCTGAAAAACGCATTGTTTTTTCGCCTGGTTTATTGTGCTGACTCTTTGCATTAAAGAATCAATTTTTGAGAAAATGCAACTTTTTCCTTTTTTTATATTAAATATAACTGAAAGTCCTTCAGTAAATCATACTTATTAGGTTTTTTCAGTATAAAATCTGGATAACAAGTAGCCTCTTCAGCACATCCCTCTTAGTCTTTGAGTCAGCTGTACAATAAAGGTACTTCAGTGGCTTTATACAGCTGCAGAGTTTTAATAAATAAATAAAAATAAGATAGGCTGCTATAAAAATTTAATTCATTAGTATACTTCAACTGATTTATATTCCTTTAGAAGCACTTCATTGATGGGATTTTATTTTAATTTTTTAGGAGACTGTGACCAGGAAACTTCAATTCTTTAGAAAAATCAAGGGTAAAATATTTTGATGACATTCTTAGACTTTTAAACAAGGAAATGTTTTAAAATAGGAAACTACAAGGACAAATCTTAGAATTTAACTGAGTTTTTTTGCATGCCGCAAAATAAAGAATTACACATCTAAAGTATTAAATATTTCAAGTAGTTCTTGAGTCTTTGGAGGCTTGCAGATGACAAGGCAACTTATCCTCAGTTAGCTCTGTTAGTTCAAGTCACTTTATGAGTTATCCATTCTCTCTGGCATGATCACTTTAAAAGCTCCACAATTACTGGATTCATGTGGCTTCAAGTCTTTATTCTGCTTTCACACGGCTTTGCTAACAGACTGACCATCACATAGTTGCAACTTTACAACATGATATCCCTGCTATGCTACCACTGAGAAAATCCTTAGCACTGACTACAAATTACAGCTTTTGAGCGCTCTGAAAGGGATTTAATCTATCATCCTCTGCTACTGCCCATTCAGTGTAAAATTTTCAATGCTTAAGACTTAATTTTCAAGGTAATACATTTTATTATAATCAAATATTTAGAAAAGATCAGGTACTTTGTATTTTTCCACATCAGTCTCCATAACCATATTCTTTTTTTTTTATATCTGTCCTACTGAAAAATTCTTCAGCAGAAAGAGTTACTTCTCAGAATCAAATGATTCGTAACAATACCTCCACGCACTTGGTTGGCATCTCAGCAGGCTTATCAAAAATCATAAAGCGGTACCATCCTGGTGTTAGGGAATGGTCACAGATCAAATCCTGAATAGCTGATTGCTGGAGATGGGATGAATCAAAATCAACGCTTCGGTAAGGACTCTGCAGGATCTGATGTCCAGCAGGAGAGCACTCAAGAACTGTGGAGCAAGAGTATTTTGAGTATCAAGACAGAATGCCTAACAAATATTTTTAAAAACATGTTAAGTATTTTTAAGGGAAAATAAGGATATATCACAATATGATTGAAACTAATTTTACAGAAAAATGTATTGAAGTCCTAGTAACAACAAATTCACATGTTAGCTCTCTGAAATGGAATAGAATTCATCATGTGATAACTTTCCTTTTTTTTTTCTTTTTTTTTCTTTTTTTTTTTTTTTTGTGGGCAATACATGCAAATTAATAACCATTTATCCAAGATGTAAAAACAGAGGGAAGGAATATGTTTATACAGTCTATCTAGATTTTGACTTTCTGGTTCCACTGATGTTTATTAAATTTAAAAATCTGAATACAAATGGAGTGTCAGATATATTAGAAGACCAAAATCTTACCTGAAGAGAAGTAAGGCTTATCCAAAGGTCTTTTGTAAATAGGCTGTCATTTTACAGGATTCCAATGCATGAAATTAAGAATTCACTCAAATGAATGAGAGATAGTTGGATGGTTGTATACAGTTTGTATGCATACATGTAGATTATAGCAAAAGTGTGTATGATCATGGGTAGACACACTAAATTATAATAAAGTAAATACACGCAAAAACTTATTTTTGGACATCTAAGTGACCTCGTGGCCTCAAAGAATATCTCAAATTTTCTGATAGGTAAAATGAAATAAGTCTTTATGATAGTTTTTTTTTTTTTAATGCAGACTCATTCAGAAATAAAGCAGAATGCCGATATTTCTGAGTCTGATCTGACTGCTGAGTTGACTCCTATCAATGACAGTGACAACAGAAGTTCTGAGTAATGGTATATTTACATGCAATGTACTGAACAACCATTCTTTCTCAGGAATGTGCTTGGGAAGTGAAAGTAGAGAAAAACAAAGTAGAAGAACGTTTATAAATAAATTACACTTGAAGTATATCTATCTATTTACTTTACTTTTAAAAATGGATACCAGCTGGTGCTGTGAACAGAATTTCAGGTTACACTGAATGACACAGTGATTCTTTATTCTTGCTTTCACTATGCTGCTAATGAATTTTAAAATACTGCTGTAAGCAAAGTTCTCTAATGTTATATTTTTAATAGGAATGCTCTGATCTTCAGTTTTTGGTCCTGCGTTTGTCTGTATTTGTTGCATATTTTCCATGGTATAATTGTGTCACTGATTACAAACATATTTTGGTTCAAATCATGCAATAATGTAAAATCTTCCACAATTTTGGCATTGTCTAGATAACCACAACTATAAAACAGTTTCCAAATCAAGTAATTCCCTGCCTTTAAATGGAGAAGAAGCCTTAGTGAAAGAACAGACTTCATCTCCTTTAGTACACAGCATGAGAATCCTATAGTCTTTCAAAGACTGAAGATCTAATCCAGTATGGCTTTAGGCTACCCAGGCAGGTAACAATAGCTTTATCTTCTAGCTTCTAAGGGCAGCTGGAAGTCGGTATGATTGACTGTGCCACCACTGTGTTTCTGAGTTGCTCGTAGCAGCCTGTAGGCTATTCGTGTCCATACAATTTGACCTTACAGAGAACTTACCCTCCACTGGAATTTAAAGAAAAGCCCTTGAAGAATCACAGGTCAGTCATGTGTGTTATTAAAATGTTTTCCAAGCAAGCTACAGCACAAGCAGTTTATGAACCATGGTGAAAGTTTCTTCCTGTCCTCTATTTTTTATTGGAATTCTTCCTTTCATACAGCACCCTCATTAGTTTCCTTTCCTGTAACTGAGCCACTCCTGAAACAATTAATATCTGTTACCTTCCCCATTAATAAATCAAACTAGACATGAGACAAGTCTCTATTTTCTTTTCCTCCACAGTTTAATTAGATCATCATTTGATAGATCTTTAAAGCAGCTGACTGTACTCATCTGTAATAGGGTTATAAATCCTACTAAAGATCAAATTATAAGTTTCTTATTATGCATATCACTTTAAAATGTCACCCAGTTCTTTGTGTATTCTTTCTTCCTTTCTAGAAGTATGCTAATATTTCCATAGTTATTGTATGGAAACTTTAGAGTTGCATAATACTGGTTGATTTTTTTTTTTTTCCTTTCCCTACCCATTCTGCAAAACAACTGAAAATAATTACCACTCACCAATAACACAAATAAAAATTACTTTTTTACACCTCTGAGTTTAACTGAAATGCTGTCTGACTCCAGCAACAGCAGAAACAAATAATGCTATCATAATTATGGATAGATAAGGACAGCGAATGTCATGTTCTCTGTGAAAGTTACTCCTGAAGACCAGATCTGCTCAAACCACAGGCATTTAAGAGGGGAGTTGGCTAAATTTTCCACTGAAGTCATAATTTACTTTTTCAGGGTGCATTAAATAAAAATAAATTTTGGTATAAACATTCTTTAAAACATTATTCTCAGAATGATGAATACTGATTTTGCTTTAGTGCTCCAGAAAAGCTCTGCCTGTGTCTAACACCCAACAATTTTACAGAATCATAGAATGGTTTGCATTGGAAGGGACCTTATAGATAATGTGGTTCCAATCCCTCTGCCATGGGTAGGGACACCTTCCACTAGACCAGGTTGCTCAGAGCTCCATCCAACCTGGCCTTGAACACATCCAGGGATGGGACAGTTCTCTGGGCAACCTGTTCCAGTGTCTCATCAACCCCATTGTAGAGAATTCTTTCTAATATCTAATCTAAATCTACTCTCTTTCCATTTGAAACCATCACCCCCTGTCCTGTCACTACGTGCTCTTGCAAATAGTCTCTCTCCAATGAGTCGCTCTCCAATGAGTAAAGTCTGACAAAATTATAAGGAACTGAAAACAGTGTCTGAAAGCTGTAAAGTGCTAAGGAAGGTTACCTACAGGGCAGGCTTACCTACCAGCTCTGCCTAGTATTTAAGAACATAGACGTATGCACTACTGTTGTCTGGAATTCACCCACAATCAGGAAATATTCTAACATGTTCTGACACAAAATGGAAAACTCATGTAAGTTTTAACAAAACTTAGCATTTAATCAAGATTATTCTTAATGGAAATCTTTCCATGTATATGGGAATATTCTTTTTATTTCTCTTTGGACCTTTAAATATATTTGTGATTTAATAACTTTAATTTAAAATATTTGCCATAGAAAAATGAAATTCTAACTATGAAACACACAAATGGATACTTAAGAACTGAGACCATGAAATTTAGGCTTCTTTGCATATTGTGCACCTCTGGTTTAACTTAATTCAAAGGAGATACATGCAATAGGATACATGTGATGAGGAGAGACATATTTCTAGAAAGTCAAACTCTCTTTTCTGTTTGGAGGTCCAGATACTACATACTGTCCGCTGAAAAAGCAATCCATCCCGGGAATAGATGTAGATGTTTCCCTAGAATATTCTATCATATTCTGTGCTTCTTTCCACAGACCCTCAATATACTGCACATGGATCTCTACTGTTCTTCAGCTCGAGTCTCTGCATGCCAGAAAGTATTTGATTCCATATTTGCTTTTTCCTGGATGTCTTCAGAATTAATACAGTGAGCTTTGCTGGGATCCATCACAGACCTTCTTGGTCCTGCCGGATATTGAGAAATGTGACCCTAGGCTGCAACATTCTAAAGACAAGGATAGTATTGTGCCACTGGATGAGCCTACTGGGAGAGATGTAGATGAAAGCTTTGCCAACACATCAGGGTTCGTATCATGACTGACATAAACTGGGGTACTTAATAGGTACTCTGAATACCACACCTTAACCAAAAGTCAAAGAGGTTTCTAAAATTAACAAAAGAGCTTATTTTCCACAAAGAGATATTTAAGGCTCCTGATGACTGCCTCTGAGGCACTCAGGCAGAAAATGAGTTCCACAAAGGAGGGGCTTTTCAACTTCCTGTTCATATCTCTGTTTCATCCACGTGCAAAGAGGGCTCAATGATTTTCCACCTGTCCATAATGCTTCCAGCATGATGGAACAGTCAATAACTGAGAAATGATGAATGCAAACCAGAGCAGAGAAGGGAAAAAGAGCCACAGTAGAGTACAGATAGACAAGGGGAGAGTGGTAGGACTGGCAACTCAGTTCCTCTGGTACAAATAGCTTATTAGTTTATATCTCCTGCTGTCCAAAGGTCAGGGTCTGGTAAGAGACCACAGTTAAACAGCATCTTTAGTAAGTGCCCATTCTGGTCATGAATGTGCCTTTTCTTGCAACCACTGACTTCAAAGGATGCAGCATATCAACATCCCAAGGCAGAAATTAAAACTGGGACTGCATTTAATAAAAGTGCTTAGATGTATTTGTGGATTTAAACTCTTACAAAATACTAAAATAAAAAGAAGTTCACTTTTTGGAAGTTATCCTGAAAAAACTATTTAGAGTAACGCTTTTAAAGCAAAATATAAAAATTACTGTAACTACCTAAAAGATGCCATCTCCTTGGAAGAGACCTAAATGAGAATGTGAGCAAAAATGTTGTAGCAATGACAGTATTGCAATCCCACTGAACAGGAATATGACTATTCCTATGCACAGAACAATGAAGAAAATCAAATCAACACGAACACATTAATACATCTTATATAAATAGCCTTGTCTGATTTGGCGTTAAAACCACTTTTCAACCACTCATGTCCACACCCTCAGGGGTGTTTTGCAAAGGTAGTAAATAATTGCGTAACCTTTATAAAAATGTAAAATATACGTTTATAGAATGTTTTGTAGTCGTTTTCAGTGTAATACACTATTGCATCTACCCTTTATGTGGATTTTCTGTCCAAAATTAGAAACAATACAGACACGGGGTTTGCAGAAGTCCCAGGTAAGGATGCGCCAACGCACCGCCTGTGCTCCAGCACGGAGGGCAAGAGCGCCGTGAAGGGAGAGTGGGAGAACCAGCACCCCTGGTCCTCGAGTTTCCCTCGCCAGATCTTCCCAGCAAGTGCGCTACGACAAGGACAGTTCCTACTCCTGT